TACGAAGTTAGGATGTCTTTCTATTTTATGACCGGCTGCTTGAAATATTCATTTTGCACCATTCGTGTAATCTAGAAAATATCATATCAACGATGATACCGAATTAACTTATTTTTCTTTTTTATTTCCCTAAATTACGAGTGAATTATTATTTTGTATGATAGCTGCTTCTCTGGTAATTTGTCATTTTTGATGGTTATAATTTTGGTTGGTACAGGTTAGTCAGCTTGGGGCCGCAGCTCAAAAATATCAAGCTGCAACTCAAAATGCATCGACAAATTTATCTGCTCCGGATTTGCAGAATAACTGTAACTTGTATGTCCTTCAGTATTCGTTTTGATAGTCTGTAAATTCAAAGTCTCGTATATTCCGGCTAGACTCTTGGTCACACATACACGCACACACTTGGGCAGTAGGAAGACAAAATTAAATTGCAGTATATCCATCTACTTCTCTTCTGTTTATTAAAATTTAAAAATAATATTACATGTTTGTTCGACCAATGTTGCATGCATGGATTTCTAATTAGCTATGAATGGACTTCAGGTTTGTAGCATCGGCTCGGCAATTGGCTAAAGCCTTGGAAGTGCCATTGGTAAATGATTTGGGTTATACAAAGAGATATGTGCGGTGTCTTCAGGTAATTTCCTGCATTTGCATCTGCTCTACCTTTTTTATTTCCCCCGAAACTTTGACTAGGCGGTTTTTTCGCACTAAAACTTACCGATTTCTTCAGTCTTCTTTGGTTCTTGGGTGAGGGTCCATACCGAATGTACTCGCATCTTCAAAGTGTGTTATCAAAATTGCACTTACTGAAGACCCAAGTGCAAATAAACTATGTTATCGAAATGTACCTTAACACAAAACATGTTTGTTATTATGTTGACGAGTGGCAACCGGAAAATCTAAAACATGAAGTTGAATTTTATAGTTGTATCTCCTTTTCGAAGAATTTTGCTTTTGAAATGTAGTCTCCTCATGCACTATTTCCTTATGTTATCGCGGTTTTAACAGATATCTGAAGTGGTTAATAGTATGAAAGACTTGATTGATTATAGTCAAGAAACGAGGACGGGACCCATGGGTAAGTTTTGACAAGATCTACCTTTCTAAGTTTATTTTATCTTCTCATTGGCTTTTAGTTTTAAATATACTTCTAAACACTTGAAAGTACCGGTCCAGGCATCTGGAACCGCTCTTCGGGGTTTCTCGTAGCCTCTATTTTTGTGTTAGTTTACCTTTAACCGAATTTTGATGGGATTTCTATAAGCTGGTTGACTATCAGCTTGTGTTTGTCTGATATTTTTGTACATTGTGGAAGGGTTCTTGGCTTCTGGCTATGAACAACCCGACGTGTTCATGTAGCTATACCATTGAAAAAAGTGTTCGGAACAAGAACTTTACTAGTGTAGCTCCATATTTATTTGTTCTCATGTTGGCTCTATGATTTCTTAGCTTGACTTTCGATCTCATATTTTGTTTTTCCTCAGAGAGTTTGGCCAAGTTCCCTCGAAGAACGAGCACTTCGTCTGGTTTTCATACTCAAGCTCAACAGCCCGTGGAACGCCTACAACAGCAGACATCGCAACAGCAAATGATGGCCCAGAGCTCTAATGGTGATCAAAGTAATGCCCAGGCTTCTGGGATGCAACTTCCCGCTACCAATGGCGTGGCTAATATAAATAACTCACTTACATCTGCATCGGCATCTACCGGCACTATTGCTGGGCCTCTTCATCCTAATTCCATGAGCTCCAGGCAGCAGAATTCTATGAATAATGCAAGCGGTCCCTATGGTGGGAACTCTGCTCAGATTCTGTCCCCCGGTTCCTCTACCACAATACCTCAAACGCAAACAAATCCTTCTCCATTTCAGTCGCCTACACCTTCCTCATCTAATAATCCTCCTCAAGCCCCAAACGGTGCCTTAGCAGCTTCAAGTCACATGAGTTCCGCAAATTCTCTAGCGATGAACTTGCCCATGCAGCAGCCGGCTCTTTCTGGTGAGGTCGACCCCAATGAATCTCAAAGCTCTGTTCAGAAAATCATTCATGAAATAATGTCGAGCCAACTTGATAACACCGGTGGCATGGTCGGCACCGGCACTCTAGACAATGATGTGAAGAGCGTAAACGGGATGCTACCACCAAGCAACAACACAGTTCTGAGCGGCGGCAACACTTTGATCGGCAATGGGGCACTCCACAACAGTAATTCAGTTAGTGGTGTTGGGTATGGTTCGATGAGCGGCAGAGGCCAGTCTGCTATAGTGAATGGAATCAGGGCAACAATGGGAAATAACCCCGTCATGAACGGAAGGATCAGTATGGCACAGATGGCTCGGGATCAACTCATGAACCACAACCAGCAGGACATCGGAAACCAGCTACTGAATGGACTCGGAGCAGTTAATGGCTTCAATAATTATCAATTTGATTGGAAGCCCTCCCCATGAAGATGTGCAGCAGGCTGATGGGTTCTTTACACTATATATGATGGATCAAGGTCTTCCCTCCCACTGTGTACTAATTCCAGAGAAAGTGAAAAAACATATGGCATAGTGTTTTTATCAATGAAAAAGCAACTTTGAAGTTGCTCCAGTTTCCTATAAATCTGTTTTCCATGATATCAAGTTATATCTGTTCATAATGTTGTTTTAGTCGTTGACAACGTACAAATATTCTTTAGACACGTAATTACTTGAGATTTCTAGAGAGAACAATACTCTTGTTTACTTCCGAGGTTGTTCGGATAGGTTTAATTATTCTAGTTTTACTGCATAAGCACCCAATGAATTACAGAACATAGATCATGTCATGTTGAATGGAAGATACATAAAAGAAACTGGCATAGCATGGCAAGAACAGACCATGTAGAGTTCTTACAAGAAACTATGGTTTTGTTTCAAAGTTCAGGTGTCGATATATTTTTCGAGTTTAGCTACGATGGTAGACTTGGACACTGCACCAATGATGCTCTCTTTCTTCTCTCCATCCTTGAAGAACAGCACGGTCGGGATGCTCCTGATCCCGAATTTCGTCGGAATGCTCGGGGACTCATCGGTGTTGAGCTTGTAACAAGTAATCTTCCCGGCGTACTCTTTAGCTAATTCAGCTATAACAGGATCAAGCACCTTACAAGGTCCACACCACGGCGCCCAGAAATCGACTAAGACCGGCGTCTCGCTGCGGACGACAAGCTCATCCCAGTTTGCTTCTGTCACCAACTCAACTGCAAATTGCAGATGAAAACTTAGAAACCCTGAAAAAAGAGCAAAAACATAAGGAAAAAAGATGCTTACCTTGAGCAACAGCATCACTGGCTTTGCATACAAGCCTGGATTTTTGGCATCTACGGGTGAATGATAAACTGGGTTTATCGGATTTCGACCCGGTAAATGTGTGCAAATTGATGTTATTAGGAGATGGAGAATGATGATGGAAGGTTTGGAGCACAGTGGCTCTTGTGTTGCAGGCTGAGCTCAATTGAAAACAGCTTTTCAGAGCCATACTTCGATAATCTCGTGGGGAAGGAAGATGGCGCTATTTCGAAATTTGTGTCGTCTAGCTTTTTGGTTAACTGAGAATGAGAGGTGGTGGAAAAGAGTATAAATTCCATATGGATAATATTTTATGATTTTAATTTGATTTAATTAGAAAATAAGTATACAAACTATACAATTTTTCTTAAAGTGCCGTCTAATTTTTTTCTTTTCGATTCACCAAGGTGTTTAATGTTATAAATATTATCATTTTAGATGTCTCGACCGTAACAACTGTTAAATTTTACCATATGTGTCGCCCTTATAAAATTTTAAAAAAATTATTTAAATAGAAAAACTTAAAGTTATAATTTTTAAAAGAAAAACAAACCTAAATATTTATAAAACTACAAATCCCACACACAAAAATTAAAATCCTAATTTCAATCCCTTTGCCATTGTCAGTTGCTATCCCCACCATTAATAGGTTGAGCACCTTAAAACAACTAAATCAGCAACCAATTGCATTAGTATTATACGATTAAATATGTCATAATTAAAATTCAATCTACAATCAATCGCGATTATTGCAATTTTAAGCAAAACATTCAAAAATAATATCACTATTTAAGGCTCAATCCCACATAGTATTGGGAACAAGTGTTGGTAATTCTCAATCCCACATAGTATTAGAAACACTATTGGGAATGATATTTAAGGCTTAGCTTTCCCACTTCCTTGTTGAGTGATAGAGAACAAGGGGGACTCTCGCGCGCCGCCGCCGCCGTCGTCTAGTCTCAGGTCGGGTCGGGTCGGGTCGGGTCGTGGTCGTGGTAATGCATGTCTTCGACACGTCCGCGCGAATACTATCTTTTTAGAGAAAATTCTTAAGAAACAAATGCAATACCGTCGTTGCGATTTTGGACTATCGCAACGAATTTGGAATAAATCGCAACGCGAACTTCGACTATCACACCGAATTTGGAATAAATCGCAACGCGAACTTCGACTAAATAAATCGCAACGCGAACTTGGAATAAATCGCAACGCGAACTTGGAATAAATCGCAACGCGAACTTGGACTATCGCAATGCGAATATGTAAATCGCAATGCGATAGTCGAAGTTCGCGTTGCGAATCTGGAAACTGATTTGCGATACCGGAGATCGCGTTACGAATTATCGATCGCATTGCGATTTAGTTGGTCATTTTGGCAAATCCAAAAAAAATTAGTTAAAATCGTATATTATAAGACATTTTTGGTCACTGAGATTATTTTCTCTTTTTATTAAGATTCAATATTATTGATACCTCTTCCAACTTTTGTAAAGTTTTGCTGCTGACTGTTAAGAGTATTTTTTTTATTAAACCGATGTGATTACAATGCAGTATTCGTTCTAAAAGTTTTAAATCATTTCGTAACGAATTCTTAAACACTTCTAGAAACACGGGTTCTCGAATCACAACAATCATTCCTTTAATCATCGAGGTAATTTGGTTCGTGCCAGTGCTAAGAGAATTAAAAAGAAGAAGAAATAATCATATAAAAGCTACTAATAATTTAGCAAATCATCCCTTTAATACACACCCCTAATACGAGTAGTACCGAGTAATAACAATCCAAATTTACAACTAAGTTCATGTTCAGCTGCAGAAACAAACTAAAGATTGTAAAAGAGAAGAAATGCTACCAGCACCCCCATAAGTTTTAGCCACAAGCTCAAAATGAATAGTCCTTCAAATCGGATTTCGAGTCGTTCAAATCCATATCAGCTAAGCACTCTTCTGAAGTAAGAGGAGGAAGTTGCCTGGTTTTGCGTTTTAAATTATGCTTGTGCCACTCGCTCTTAAAGTGATCCCTGTACTGCTTTGAATCCCCCACAAATGCATTGCATGTGCTGCACTTGTGTTGCTTTGCCTCCGCTTCGGCATTCTCATTTCCCGAAGAGACAGAATCTTGTTTCTGCATTTTCTCGCTTAGTTGGAGGACTGAATCATAAGATTCCGGGGGTAAACGTGACGATGCTGACTCGGCCGAATCCTTGGCTAGATTTGATGACATATCGTCATCATCATAATTATCCACCTGTGTATCCCCCTCGGCATGCACAGACACTGCAAGTATTTCCAATCTACCCTGTGAATTCCTCACGAGGCCATCGCATTCTCGGAAAAGTCCTGGTTCAATTTCACAAATCTGAAAAACAAGCAAATGGAAGATTGAGGGCTCGAAAAAGAAAATGACTAGATAAACGGTAAACCACATAAATCATACAGCTTAGTAACATAGAAAAATCAATTCAATCCCGAAACAGCGTCTATGGACACTGGAGAAGAGTCAAAGGGGAATTACAGGTGCAAGAAGCTTTGAGCTACTATGATAGTAAATTCCCAACTGGATACAAAGTTTCTGTCTACTTGCCAAAGTTTAAGCTTATGTATGTCCCATCACTTTGCTTCACTTACGTAGTTTTACAAATCAACAAAATCGAAAAAAACAAAATAACAACACGGCAATCTCATTCAACTATCTTTTAAGAATTCTCCTAAATTCCAATTTCAATGCCATAGTAAATCATGCCGGCAGTCTGGAAAACACTTTTGATGGATTAAATCAATCACTTTCACACAACTTGCTAATGCTGATGCTTGAAAAACGGAGCAAGCAGACAATACTTTTAAATATTTCGGTAAATAATGCTAAAGGTGAAGTGAACTTATAACAGGCATGAAAAAAAAGGATAAAACAACTAAACGAAGAGTCGAAAACTTCTCCTAGGGAATAGAAGATGCAGCTTCTACTCAGGACTTACAACAGAAAGCTGAGTTCCGGATTCATCTTTTGAAACAATGGTAACACCCCATTCATTTAGCTTCTCGCAAAGAGACTGAAAATTTTGTCCAGGAACAATGAGTCGTAATCTCATGGGCGACCGTTTTATAGGGAAGTGCTTCTGAAGCTGACGAATAACCTCTAGAGCCTGCAAACTAAACACTGTTAGGCCATGAAGACGACACAAGAAGCCCACATAAGATACATGAAATTCAACTAAAAGAACACTATTCCAAGCCAACAACAGACTGTATGTCCGGAATCTCCGGATGGCCAGACTTTTCAAGCATTTGGCATCAATTAATATAGAAGAAATTGTCATCCAAGTTTAACACGCATTTCTAGAGATGACATGAAAGATTCATCGATTTGTTTCGATACTCGATAACTAAATATCTAAATGACAACTAATACAACAACAACAAATGACCTGTTTCTTGGAGCTACTATTCGGTTCAACAGCGAAATGAATTTCATGCATTAGCCTCTCAATCATACTAATGGTGTAAGGGCGCTGAGTTTCGGGATTGATAGTCTTTTGCATAACTATCGTCGCGATATCCCGAAACTGACTCGAAAATTGCGATTCCCTTTCCTTCCCAGCAACTTGCAGCTCCCCTTTCTCCAAAATCTACCGTCCAATAAAACATAAAGGGAAAAAACCCCTCATATCAACAAACAGAAAGTAAATCAAAATTAATTTCATTTTTCAAAAAAACCTAAATCAGAATTACCTCCAAACAAATTTTAGTCTGATCATCAGTTCCAAAGGCAGCAACCAAATCTTTGGTTTTAGCAAGCACCCCTTTCGAAACATTCGTGTAAACCGTATGGGACTGTAACACTTCGTCCAAATCTTTCTCCCTGTTGCAATAAATTCCATCTTCTAAATAAATTTAATCAAATTTCAAGAGCAAAAACAAAAAGTAGAATAGAATTTGTGAAAAACTTACACCCGAGAACGCCAGGAGAGCACCTTGTTCTTGTAGCAAGCGATTTCGAATCGCATGCCGTGTTTCTTCAAACGCACCACCGCCACATTCGTCAGCCGCTTTTGCCCTATCGGTTGAACCAGCGTTTTCGACATTTTTAACCTCTATCTCTCCAGCACGCTTCTTCTCCCTATTTTTATACCAGATTCTTTCGGGTCATTTTTAGGGATAAATCAACTTTTAATCCCTAAAGTTTACACTTTTTTAATTTATCTTTAAACTTAATTCGAATCTAGGGGTCAGCATTTTAGATTAGGATCTAATCATATAAAATCATCGATGCAAGATTATTTATAAGGTTGTGATCTTAAAGATTACTTAGGATTGAAATATTTTAAGATATATTTCTTTTGCCTTATCGGCTAAACCAACGTTTTCGACATTTTTCATCTCTCTCGATCTCTCCAACACGCTTCTTCTCCCTATTTTTATACTAGATTCTTTCGGGTCATTTTTAGGGATAAATTAACTTTTAATCCCTAAAGTTATCACTTTTTTTAATTTATCTTTAAACTTAATTCGAATTTAGAAGTGAACTTTCTAGATCAGGATCTAATCATGTAAAATCATCGATGCAAGATTACTTAGAAGGTTGAGATCTTGAAGATTGCTTAGGATTGAAATCTTTTAAGATATATTTCTTTTGCCCTATCGGCTGAACCAACGTTTTCGACATTTTTCACCTCTTTCGATCTCTCCAGCATGCTTATTCTCCCTATTTTTATACCAGATTCTTTCAGGTCATTTTAGGGATAAATCAACTTTTAATCCCTAAAGTTATCACTTTTTTAATTTATCTTTAAACTTAATTCAAATTTAGGGGTGAACATTCTAGATCAGGATCTAATTATGTAAAATCATCGATGCAAGATTACTTAGAAGGTTGAGATCTTGAAGATTGCTTAGGATTGAAATCTTTTAAGATATATTTCTTTTGCCCTATCGGCTGAACCAACGTTTTCGACATTTTTCACCTCTTTCGATCTCTCCAGCATGCTTATTCTCCCTATTTTTATACCAGATTCTTTCAGGGCATTTTTAGGGATAAATCAACTTTTAATCCCTAAAGTTATCACTTTTTTAATTTATCTTTAAACTTAATTCGAATCTAGGGGTGAGCATTCTAGATCAGAATCTAATCATGTAAAATCATTGATGCAAGATTACTTAGAAGGTTGAGATCTTAAAGATTGCTTAGGATTGAAATCTTTTAAGATATATTTCTTTTGCCTTATCGGCTAAACCAGCGTTTTCGACGTTTTTCACCTCTATCCCTCCAACATGCTTCTTCTCCCTATTTTTATACCAGATTCTTTCGGGTCATTTTTAGGGATAAATTAACTTTTAATCCCTAAAGTTATCACTATTTTTAATTTACCTTTAAACTTAATTCGAATTTAGGGGTGAGCATTCTAGATCAGGATCTAATTATGTAAAATCATCGATGCAAGATTACTTAGAAGGTTGAGATCTTGAAGATTGCTTAGGATTGAAATCTTTTAAGATATATTTCTTTTGTCCTATCGGCTGAACCAACGTTTTCGACATTTTCACTTCTTTCTATCTCTCTAGCATGCTTATTCTCCCTATTTTTATACCAGATTATTTCGGGGCATTTTTAGGGATAAATCAACTTTTAATCCCTAAAGTTATCACTTTTTTTAATTTATCTTTAAACTTATTTCGAATTTAGGGGTGAGCAATCTAGATCAGGATCTAATCATGTAAAATCATCGATGCAAGATTACTTAGAAGGTTGAGATCTTGAAGATTGCTTAGGATTGAAATCTTTTAAGTTATATTTCTTTTTCCCTATCGGCTGATCCAACGTTTTCAACATTTTTCACCTCTTTTGATCCCTCTAGCATGATTATTCTCCCTATTTTTATACCAGATTCTTTTGGGGCATTTTTAGGGATAAATCAACTTTTAATCCCTAAAGTTATCACTTTTTTTTAATTTATCTTTAAACTTAATTCGAATTTAGGGGTGAAAAATCTAGATGAGGATCTAATCATGTAAAATCATTGATGCAAGATTACTTAGAAGGTTGAGATCTTGAAGATTGCTTAGGATTGAAATCTTTTAAGATATATTTCTTTTGAATATAAACTCTCTGACGAGGATAATAGAAAATACGAGATGATCTATTTCTTGACGACCATAACTCATTTATATAGCTAATTTAATAATCAATTATTATATGTACTTATAACTTTGCCACTCATGTACCCATAAATATGGATTTTAATCCAACACATTTGATTTAGTCGAGTTAAAATTTTTCTGTGTTTATTTGAATTGATGAATATTATTTTATAACTCAAACTTCATTTAATTTTTTTGAGTCTATTAGAGTTTATGAAAATTATTTGATACAATTCAAGTTTCTATTTAAATTTAATTGTAAATATTTATAATATTACGATACTATTTGATAATTTATACAGTTTTCTTTAACCACATACAATTTATATATATATATTCTTCATATTTTTTTCATATATAATATATAGAGTTGAGGTACTTGACTCGAACTTGAAAATTAATCAATTATTTTTTTTAAATTTCAAGTCATTCAAGTTCTATTTTATAACTCAACTTGATTTTGAATTTTTCTTTGTCGAGTCTACTTTATACAATAATGAGTTAAGTCAATTCGAATGGAATTTTTTTTACCCTCAAGTCGAATTGAAAATTTTAATTTTTTCGAATTAAGTCAAATTTTATCTATTCTTAATTGAGTTAATTTTAAACTCAATTTTTTCTATTTTTTAAAATATGATATTCTAAAATTATAAGAAATGAAAAAATATTATAATTTCACACTATTAAAATAATAATAAAAAATCTAATTTCAAAATTAATATAAACAAAAAATGGTTCAGGGATTAAAAGTTGTTTTCTCTCTTTCCACGGAAAGTTACATACGCACCGTTTCGGAACCATAAGAAGACCCGCTTCAACCCAAAGCCACAACTTAGCAATTCAGCCTAAGGGTTCACATAATTCCCATTACTAGTACTGTTCCTTCCTCCAATTCCCTTCTCTGCCGAATTGCCTGTTCTTTTTTATTTTCTTTATATATTTTGCTTGTTTGGGTTTCCAGGAAAAAAAAGATCAAAGAGAGAGTAAGAAGATTTATTTTTTGAGAAAAAATGGCGTCTGTGAAGGAGAAGAGTGATGGGGCAATTCCAGAGGAGGAAAAGGAGAGCTCTAATTATTTTGATATTTATGGACCTCAAGTACACTTTTTTTTGGCTCTTTCTTTTCATATTTTCTGTAGGGATTCTATTGATCTGTTTTAGTATAATAGGGGAATGTGATGAAACTTAAAGCCTTCCCTTTGCAGGCAAAACCAGAACTTGTTTTCAAGACGCCAGAAGCTGACAATACTTTGAATTTGCAAGTAAGTTTCTGGAAACCGACTTTATGTAAAGAAAAGAAAAAGAAACATAGTTGAAGTTTGGGTTTTTTGTTTTGGTACCAGGATGTTCAAGGACTTGTTACCTGGGTTCTTGCCGATGGATTCATGCCCTCTTGGGTTTTTATTAAGGTAAATAAATAGTATAATTTTATGTATTGAACTTTATACTTGGTTTCCTTATTAATGTGTGGAACAGTCTTTGATTGTTTGGGTTTTTATAAGTTATATAAGAAGACGTTCTTATTTTATATTGTTTGCAGAATAAGCCACTGATTCCGAAAGTTGTAATGCTTTATGTCCCTGGCTTGGATGCAGCTTTGTACTTGGCACAATCCATGAAACTTTCTGGTTTGAAACAAAGTTGTGGCAATCCTCGGCCGCTTTTAGCTCTTAGGTTTGTAATGACCTTGTTTCTGCATTCCTTGTCATCGGAAATATGCCCGGTGTGAATTGCAATGCGGTGTGTTTATGAATCTGTTTTTTTTATTATTATTGTAGCTGTGTATCTGATGGGATGCAGACGATAGATGCACTCCTGACGTGCAAGGTGAAGAGAAAGAGAAATGTAATCGATTCAGTGAAGGAAATAAGCCACCCTGCTGAACAAGGTGCAAAATCTATCTTTGAAGTTGAACGGTCCGCTTCTTTGCTTGCATGTTTCTTACTTGTATGGTGGAATTAGATGCTTTACAGGGTTAGTTGGTTTTCATTAGAGGATTGTCAGTCCCAACTTGTGTGACTAGAAAAGCAAAGCTTTGGGGACAGTAAACATGTGACATTTACTCATCTGGCGGTCTTAACTAACTTTTATGAGACAGAACAAAGGTATTTCAGCTGTTCTGCACTTGTTTATAGTGGTGTTCCCAGTTCTTTACTATTCTGTCTGAGTTGGGCTGCAATCCTCTTATTTGGCTGTATTGTGATTCTTAGCCTTTTTAAAAAAATAATTGGAGTGTAAATTCTCCTTAATAAGGAAAATATTCCAATAAGTAGAAATGTATATTCGTGAACAATTCTGTGCAGTTATACAATAGGTAATGCTTTCTGTTGTCTCTGCTCTACACATTTCCTTTTCAAATTTGTATTCAAAATCATAAATAATCAATAGGTACCATGATTAAAATTTTTCTTTACAGTGTCTGCAATTATCAAAATGTTATATTTAGGAGATGAGATGGTTCCTAATTCCCATTTGGCAATCTTTTTGTTGCTTTCAGCATCACAACAATACAATGCTATTTTTTTTAAATATCTTAACTTACTTGAGGATATCTGTTAATGGATACGTATTGATAATAAAATGATATATTTTTTGCAGAAACACCCATCTCTTCAATGGACTCACTCTTGAAAGATATTCCTTTCCCCATTACATATTATACACTTACAGCAAAGGAACTAGAAGACAATGGATTTTGTTGTGATCAACAAGGTCCAAAAAATGTTTTTTCTCTGACTACATACTTTTCTTTGCATGTTAATCTTGCATCTTCATTGTTCAAGTGTCCTTGGTTCATTCTTGGATTCTTTCCACGCAGATTTTCGTTCTACTCTTCCTGCTCCTAATGGATCTTCTCCATATGAAATATTAGCGCTTGATTGTGAAATGGTAAATCCCGTGTGTCAGTTTATGACTTAATCATAATGACTTTTTGCTTCTTATCTGTGAAATGTGGTAAAATCATGTAAACTGTTAGATGGAGAATGTACAGTGACAAGATAGTGCTGCTTTCTTCTGAAGAAGCCGGATAAAATGCTACACGTGCTTATCTTTCCTAGAATTGCCTTTGTAGGCTAATTTGTCGCCTTACCCATCTGTGGTTTGGAAGTAGTCTATTTGGTGATAGGCTTATATCACTTATCTAATATTGAATTTAAAAAAGTTCATCTCTGGTCTGAATTTATGTTATTGTTTGCTTAAGCTGAAACTAATTTTTTATATACTCTTGAACAATTGAGCTTCTTACCTTTGGATATGGCTATTGAATTTGCTTGTATTAATGTAGTTAATCTTATGATGGACATTGTTTATTTCTCTCTTTTTTGTCTTCTTATGTTCACGCAGTGTGTAACAAGTGAGGGTTTCGAGCTTACAAGAGTGACCCTGGTTGATAATAAAGGACAGGCATGTTAAACAGAACTTCCTTTATTTATTTTTTCTAATTTCCTGTATCCTCTTATTGTCAACTATTTCTTGGCATAATATTCTTAGTACATGCATGTTGTATTTGTAGATTTAATTTAATGTTGGTTTCTTTTAGATAACCTTTCTTGTGGCCTGTGACTGGCATTTATTTTTCGAATACAGCTCATGCCATCTCTCTTTTTAACAACTTTTTTCCCTGAGCACTTTACCCGTTCCTGTAAAAAAGACAGGAAAAAAGAGTGATCCATCTTCTTGTTGCTGCACCATGCAAATGTAACAACTCATTTACTTGATAAATTGGCTGAAGCTTCAATGATTGTTTTGTTGACAGGTTGTACTGGATAAATTGGTTAAACCATCAAACCCTATCACTGATTACAACACAAGGTAAATGTTATTTCAACTGATGAAGTTGAGTCTTAATATATTTTGTTCTTGAATTGCTGACTTTATGACAGGCTTTAATTGGATCCTGGTAAAGGCATTTTAGTTTTGCATATTTTATTTTTCCAGATACATGAAGATTATGTTTCTTTTATTTACAATCTCTTAGTGCCATGTTATTGGTATATAAATTAGTTGGTCAAGATTATGCTGGTTATTTTTTGTGTAACATTTTCTCATGTTTCAAATTGTGTTTGAATTTGGATCGACTGATTTGATATCTTCTGTCCCAACTCGGAGATCTTTCTCCCTCTCTCTACACACACACACCTCCTCTCGACAGGCCAAGTTATAGTTTACTTTATTGCTTAAGCAGGTTTAGTGGAATAACATACGAGATGTTGAGTGGAGTTACTACGAGTCTTCAAGATGTTCAGGTTCATTGTCCTTCATATACCATCACTAATCAATAATTTTACTGCAATATTGTCGTATCAATGTTCCATTAAAAGATATTTCTTGTATAAATTATATATAGTTGCTTCTCATCTTCAGGAAGATTTTCTAAAGCTGGTTCACAAAGATACCATCTTAGTCGGGCATTCCTTGGAGAATGACTTGTTAGCTTTGAAGATTTCTCATGATTTGATAGTCGATACCTCTGTATTATACAAACACCCTCGTGGTGGATCTTATAAAAGTGCTCTTCGAGTTCTTGCCAAGAGATTTCTTTCTAGGGAAATACAGCAGTCTGAGACAGGACATGATAGCATCGAAGATGCAAGAGCTGCTATGGATTTGGCTATGTTAAAGATTAGAAATGGCAAGTGATTATTTTCTTTGTAGACTTTATGTTCTTTTACATCAAGAACTCGAAAATAGCTTATAGAGGAAGGTTTATCATACCATTATTTTTGTTTCTTGATGTTTAAACATGTATGTAATTTCTTACAGTGTCTTTGCTTCTTGTGTTAGGACCTGATTTTGGTACGCCACCATCGTTTATGCGCAGAAAGCTCCTTACTCTTTTGGGTGAGTGTGGCAAGACCTCCTCTTTCGTTGATGATATTTCCATAGTCAAGCGATATGCTTCCGAGCCATCCCATGCGATCCCAGTTTGCTCTGATGATGAAGCTCTTTTAAAGGCTAGAAAAGAGGTAATGATATTGCTTTTCTGGTATACCTTCCATCTATCCCGTCTGGCTTATCAACTTATATTATGTGTTCTTCTAGGTCAAGAACGATTGTGTACACTTTGTCTGGACCCAGTTTTCTGAAGTGAACTCCTATTTCAGAAAGCAAGCTGAGGATGATGTAAACTTGAATGGAAAGCTTGCGGAGATGATATCGTTCCTTACATGTGGTAAGAGGCCTGCCAAACAAAAAGGAGTCAAACACAATATTTCAACTGAGCTAAAGGAAATATTAACGCGCATTGACACTAGGGTTCGTAGTCTCCACACTGCATTACCAACTAACTCGATGTTTATAATATGCACTGGACACGGGAACATAGCCATTGTTCATAGGTACGTTTTGCTTAACCCGACACTCATATACTGCTTATGGCTTTTGATGATGTTTCCATTTCATTCTAAGTATTGTATCACTGCTGACATTAATGAGATTGTAGTCACCTAAACTTGAAGGTGAATGAGGAATATGAATATTTGTCCAATATGGGTGTACTCAATTTTTCATGTCTGTATATGTGTCGAACGCTAGTACTTTAAGAACAATGACGAATCCGGATAACTAGATGTCAATAATTAGCTTTTCATTCGAGCTTTTTCTCTTTTTTCCCTTTCCACTGAGGCTTGGTTTTTCTGGTGTGCATGTATGAAGATTGAGGAAAATGCTGACTGAGCAAAGCGAAACAAAGATTCCACGTGAGAAGCTTATCAAGGTATTGGAAGAGCTGCAAGCCCAAGCTGAGGTAGCTTTATGTTTCATTGGCTTGAAGGATTAGATACTAAAAAAATACATTATGCACCAATTTCTCTTGCAATTTTCAAGAGAAATGAGGAATGTTCGTGTAAGCTTTACAGGCTATTACAATTTTAACAAATGACAATCATTCTTTTGATGCTGTGCTGGGAAACTCCTGTAAACTATGATGAGAATTCTCTAGTGCTGTTGTTTATTAAGAGTCTTGTGCAGTTCTCTTTCTCTTTTCTCTTTATTTATTCTTTCAGGAGTGTAAATGAGACATTCGTGTTCGAGCGGAGCTCAAAAGTTGGCTTGGATCGTTAAATCGATCTCAAACTTATATTGCTCGAGTTATAGCGCAAACCGAGTTCAGATGAAGTAAAGCAGCAAATGGAAAACATATACTATAGAAGAAAAATGTTAATTAGTTAGCAACCCCTACTCTGAAATTTTACTGGAGCAGCTTTATAGTTTCTATAATGTACATTCAAAGCTAACTCCATGCTGAAGCAACAATCAAGCTCTTGTCTTCCCAACCGAAATGAAGTGTACCCAAATCCTCCTTCAACTTGTACCTGTCATAGTACTCCCTGATAAGCTTCCGGGTCATATCGATCACGTCCGAACTCATTGGAAAGGACTTGAATCCAGCCATTGTCATCCTTGCCCTCCATTTTCCAGCAACTTCATATCGTTCAATCCCTTCCTCTCCTTCACACGCAACTATGTTGACAATGTCCCGTGCCAGACACTGCCTTTCAACGTTCATCTGGTCCTGGCTCTCCCTGGGAAGTGTAGCGTCCAGGGAGTCAAAAACAGCAGAGTAGTAACTGTAGGCTTCGATAAACCTCGGGAAGAAAGGAGTTGTGTTTGTGTTTACATCTTGCTCAATGACAGTAACGAGTTTTGGATTCATGCTCTTAACCATCCGAAGAAGCTGATCTCGCTCATTGATTGTTGAAACACTCTCGTCGGGCATGTGGTGGAGTTGGAATGCAAAGTTCACTATAAGTGCTTCCCCTGGCCTGCAATCCAGCATAGATGGAATAACAAGAGCAGTCTTTGAGGGAACCGCTCGAAACTCAGATGTCACACCGAGTACTTCTGCTAGCTTCTCCAGTCTTAGCCCAACAAGTTCGAGACCTCCATTAAGACGTTGAACCGACTCAGGATCATCAACTCCAGTTAACCTCAAAAGAGGCGGCTTGCCAGGCTGCTTTGCGATTGTTTGAATCAGCGCGACGTACTGACTACCTTGACTTATATCGAAATCTATTATATGTACTATTTTTTCATCTTTAAATGCCTCAATAATTGCACCATTTGCTGCCATAAATCCAAACTTGAAACAGGGGCACACTTCAAAGAGAATTTGCATGGCTGCAAGCCTATCAGAAGAAGGTGGCTCTTTGCATCTTAAAGCTTTATAAAGATATTTACCGGACACTGCCATGCGAGCTGCAAGACCTTCAACCATGTAGGCCGCGATTCTCTGGGGAGGATCCCCTTGAATTGAGACTGTCTGGCGAAGCTCGTTTATTATGGCTGAAGCTTCTTCGATGTTGCCTTCTGAGAGTATAGCAGCACATTCAATCAGCCTTTGCTTAGGAGAACGGGATGAAACATTCAATACCTCTTTGTTGCTGCTAATGCTACCAGGAAAAGAACCCGAGGATGATGACTTCTTTGGTGAGTCATGAAGTGAATCTGTCCTGATAGGATCGAACCATTCACCTTCTACTTCCATTCTTAGACCAGTGCCGAACATGTCATAATCGCCATCAACGGCATTATCAGCTAGCAGAGCTCTCTCCAATTCTTGAAGCTTCAATTTCATCATATCCGGGTCAGAGTCTAGTGTATCCGGGCTTTGGATTTCCAAGCAATCTGATTAAAAAACCGGATTGGATGATATTAGGACATCGGGTTAACAAAACAAAAGATTGCACTGGTTATGGTTTTAGTGTGTAGACCAGTTTGGAGAAAAGTGAAAAACCTCTTATCTGGTAAGACGGAATCGAACTTCCGGAATTTCCCGAACTAGATGAATGTATAAGCTCATCCCTAGGAGAATCAAAGAAATACTTCTCGTAGCTCTCGTAAGAATCCATAATGTAAACAGGCTTATATGTATCAGGACCAGACATTCGAAAAGCCATGTTGGTACTGTCACTACTATCCTGTATTGAATAGAGCTTTGTATAATTGTATTTCTACATGATGCAGTAGCTGGTTCTGCAGACCTTACTCGACTCCCTGGACGCTCGAATTATAAAACGATTCCTGCAAAACGAATCACAAATCAAACACCGACGAAGACATGCAAACCAAAGAAATGTCCTTTAAGGTAAAACCGATTATGAACTCGAATAGCTCATGAGTAACATGAGATAATCTGCATCACACGATTAATCATCTGCAACAAAGGTAAGTCATGTTAGCACAAAACAGGGAACTCGAGATCCCTTCATTGTTCAGTTCGGGACATCCGGAAACCGAAATTCGATCTCGACAAGAACATGTGTGATGGATATAAAATGCTCTAAAATCTTATACAAGGTTGCCATAGGCGGATTAAACTAAATAGAGTGAACATTTTCCATGGTTTGCTATCATCATTAACATACAGAAAACAAAGAACAGCATTGATTCGAGTAAAGATCCATCGGCAAAGAACACTCAATTTCGACTAAGGTGACCGAAAACCGGATTCAAGGTTCTGAGAACAGATTCCGAGGGGAAAAACAACAGGAGAAAGGGGATACAACAAAAACAAAATTCTGTGATTACGAGGATCAGAGCATACTTGAACAACTCCAAGACAAGTTTTTGAAAAACAAGCAATCTAAAAGCTGAAAAAGGAAGAACAAGAAATCAATAATCAATACAGGGGAATACTAGGGGTTTACCCTTTACCTGATACATGAGAAAAAACCTCAACAAGCAGCAGCGAAGATCATTGTTTCTACAGTCAAATCCTGCAAATCCAATACATATAAATTCCAGATAAAAGATGAATCTTCGAGAACCGAAGCTTCAATGGAGATGAAAACAAAGAGTTGACCTATATATTTTTATTTAATTATATATATATATTTAAAAAAAAACGAAAACCACATAGCAGACACCAACAAAACCGTAAAGACAACCAAAATTTTTGGGGTTTTTTTAAATGGTGGGTTTCAGCTGCCATATATAAGAAACTGAACAGATCAATATTCCATACGACCCAAGATGAAGGGGAAGTGGTGGGAAGCAGACCTCAAAGGGTGTTGTTTCTTTCTCTCTAAAGACAGAAACTTTGTGACTCGTGGGTTCCTTTACAAGAAGGCATTTTATGCATCTTAAAAAACAGGGTTTTCTTCGGGGAGTTTGTCTTGGTCTGCATGCATATTTTACGGTTAAACTCTCGAGATAACGTTCTCGAATAAATTAATTCACGAGATAATGCACTCCCCAGATTAATTGCTCAAATAGGGTGAAATTTACAGTGTTGGCTGTAGGTCGCCATGCCATCCAGGCAACTTATTAGGTCGCCATGTCTTCCCGGCGAGCTATGAGAGAGATTGCATGTATCATGCACGTTCCAATACATTGGGCATCCGAAGCCATCCGACCGAGGGCATCCGACCGAGGCCATTCGAGCGAGCTATACGAGGGCATCCGAGGGCAAGAGTAATCACGCGAGGAGCAGGAGGGAGTGCATGGAGTGCATGGCGACCTACAAGGTCGCGAGGAGTGCATGGCGACCTACAAGGTCGCCCGGAGGGCATGGCGACCTATGCTTGGGGACGTGCATGGCTGGCCACGTAGTAGGTCGCCCGAAAGGCATGGCGACCTACGACCAACACTGTGGATTTCACCCTATTTGAGCAATTAATCTTGGGAGAACATTATCTCGTGAAATAATTTATTCGTGAACGTTATCCGGAGAGTTTAGTCCAAATTTAACAGGATGATGTCATCATATGCTCATCAGGACTTCTTTTCTAATCCTTCATCGTAAATTTAGAAATATTTTTTTCAGGATGTACACAATATATTAATAAAATAATTTTTTTTAAATAAGATGAATATAAATAAAATTTCAAGATAGATATTATTCGTAAAATAATAATTAATTAAAAAATTCAAATTTTAAAAATATATAAAAAAATTTAGAATGAATACTAACAGTGATTCAATCCTTCACCTGCAATAAGTTTCCAACACCTACACAAATTTTCGCGAACACAGTAACTCAACCAAATTCGACAGAGAAACCGCGTTGAAACGGTGCATTTGACTATGTTTTCTCTACTTGCCCCTAGTCAGTCAATTATTAATTTTTTCTATTTTCATTTATTTTCGTTTATATTTATTTATGTTCATTTATTATATTTGTTTACGTTCATTCATTTGTGTTCGTTTATGTTCGTTTATTGTGTTTGTTTATGTTCGTTTAAATCCATTCGTTTATATTCGTTCATTTGTGTTTGTTTATCATTTAAATGAACGAACATGAACAAATTATATTTCTTAACGAACGAATATGAATAATAAATTTTTTATTCATTTATGTTCATATTTATTAATTTATTCGATTAAAATTAAACGAATAAATATAAACATACTTATATTTATGTTTGTTCAATTCGTTTACACGCCTCTTTGATACCGTGTAAAGCAAAAGCGTGTGACTAGAAAGCGTTTTTTAAAGTGTGATTTGCAAGACCGTACGAGCTCATGTTAAACTAAAATGAAAGAAAGAAAATGTGAGATAAAAAATACAAAAAAACATAATAACTTTTTTAAAAGAAAATAACAAACACGCCTGCAGTGCATGTCAAAGACAAGTATTTGTAACGCCATGAGCACAAGTTGGGTTTGAAGGTAGCAAAATTGTGTATATATTAATCTTATGTTTAATTACTCAATAAATACGTGTTTAAATAATTATAATCTTATGTTCAATCACTCAATAAATACGTGTTTAAAAAATTATTTAAACACATAAAAATCTAAACAATGTAGGAACTGAAAACCGCAATGAACTTTTTAAATCACACATTGTTTAAATATGTATTTATTGAGTGATTTAACACAAGGTTAATACACTCATCGTCGTCGTCTTTCGATAATGCTCGTGCTTGTACAAATACATGTCTTCGACATGCACAACACATTTGTTCTTCGAAGACAAAATTCGTATAATTTTTTATATTTTTGTCTCTTTTTGTTTGTCCAACTCGTTCATATTGTCCGTCACATAGACATAAGACACTTCCTATAAAATGTATCTTTTAAAAAGTATTGTCTGTAGTATATGTCTTTATGCTACGTGACAAAAAATATGTAAATTTAAAAAATAATTTAATATAAATATTAAAATAAAAATACTTTTTAATATATAATATTTAAATAAGAAAGCCAACAAAATAATAAATCAATTATAACATCGGGCTATCATCGAAGGTGACACACTTCCATCATTAATCGTCTTGCAAACCCAGATAACGATATCTCTGTAATAAGATTTTTGCTTAGCGGAGTTTGAGAATCCTCAGGGTCGGTCCAATGAGTTTTAATGTCCTGGGCGAGATAATAATTTTATGTCCTTATATTTGTACCGTATAATAGACAAAATATAAATATTTTTTTAAAAACAAAAATGTAATAGAAATTATAGTCAAACAATATCAATACATGCCCTAAGCCTTCCATCGACTGATCAGGTGTTTTAGGCTAATTTTTTTGGGCCAAATATATATATACACACACATACACTATAAATACTAGAAAACTGATGCCCCCTCAAACATTCTATCCTGGGCTAAGATCCATCTGGCACATGTATTAAGCTGGGCCTGAGAGTCCTTAAGATATTCATCGTTCTTAAAGATACAATATGTTAATAGGCTAACCAAACTACTCATATTCTAGTCAATTGAGCTTTGTCGATAAATAATTTTTTTGATTTTTTATGATAGATCCGATTGTATTAAACGAAATTATTATTATTATTATTATCTCTTATTATTTTTTGAAATTTTTATCTATGATATTATTTTTGGAAATTTAGAGAGAGTTTAAGATATTATTCGTTTAAAAGTTTTTTTTAATTTATCGATAATACATATATATTATATTTTATTGACATTCTCTTCGAACACGATTTCTTTAAGGAAAAATGATATTCTCTTTTATTATGATTTTAAGAAAAGTTAAAATTGAACTCATCAAATGATCTCAGTTATAAATATTGTATTATTCTCTCTAATAGTCTTGGATCCAAACACCTGCTTTTGTAGGTATATGTGCATTGTTAATAGTTAAAAAAATATTATGAACAGATACAAATTTATAATCACCTAGATTATTTAAAAATAAGGATAAATTACAAATTTGGTCATTGAACTTTACCCTATCTCCTATTTCACTCATTGTACTTTATATTTTTTTCAATTTTCTCATTGAACTTAATACATTGAGTTTTTTTTGTCACTTGGCTGTTAACTAGTTAACTTTGTTGTTGTTTTTCTTTTAGATATAATACATATATTTTATCCAAAGAACGATGTCGGTTCGGTGAAAATTTTGTTTTTTTTTTTCAAAACGATATCGTTTTTAACGCCGTTAACTATTTAATGACAGAGTCACCAAAATAAGAGAGAGTAAAGTTCAATGACAAAAAAAAACTCAATGTATTAAGTTCAGTGAGTAAAATAGGAGAGAGAGTAAAGTTTGGTGATGGAATTTGTAATTTACCCTAAAAATAATAACAACAATAAAGGTTAAAATTGGAAGAATGCAATGGGAAAAGAATCGAAGACAAGAAGTGAGCAATCATAGCGGGAGCTTTGAAAGTTTTGCAAAACTCTTATTTTGTCAAATGAAATGAGTGTGGAAATCATTTTCTACGCAACGCAACGCCAGAGCCAGCTGAATCCTCCAGCAGCAGTGCAGAATGAGCCCCCGAGTATCAACCGCAGCAGTTTTTGCTAACATATCTGCATCTTTATTGACTTCACGGGGAACATGACAAGATTGTACTTTTCAATCCCGATTCAACAAGTCCGAGATAAAAGATAGTCTGCTTTTACTGCATCTGGTGATTTCAGCTACGATTCGATCTACAATTTCCCAGTAAGCCTCCCTCCATCTCTTATTCACCAAGTAAACAACCCCGAAAAGCCCCCAGAAGCCAGTGACATACCCTGCAAACACAACAGCAAGCAGTATTCTCCACTCTCCGGATTGATTTTCACTACCATCGGATGATTCCGACGTTGGGAAATCGTCGTCGTCGTCACAGTCGATGCCATCAGGAGCTCCACACAAGAATCTGTTGCCAATGTATGCTAATCCATCTCTACTCAACGTATCAAAGTGTGGACTCGTCGAGATTTTCCCACTTAAATTGTTGTACGCCAAGTTTAATGTCGTAATCGAATCCAGCCGAGTCAATGAACTAGGGATTTCTCCACTTAGATTGTTGTAACCAAGGTCCAGAGATTCAAGGAGACTCATGTTTCCTATAGTAGAAGGGATGTTACCAGAGAGACCATTATGGGAGAGATTAAGTGCATAGAGCCCTTTCAGGATGCCTAATTCTGAAGGAATGTTTCCGGTCAGATTGTTGCATGAAAGATCCATTCCATTATGGTATGTTCGAACCACATTGAATTGTAGTAACAATCCCTTAGCCACCATATCCACTTTAACACCAATGTATCCTTTAGAGACGATAAACCCGAGAAGATCTCCGTCTTTCGGTCGGTTTATGATCGTCTTTAATCCGGATAACTTATCAGGGATTGGACCAGACAGTTGATTGTTTGAAAAGCCAATGAACTGTAGATTTTCTAGACCAAATATCTCTTCCGGGATTGAACCATTGAAAAAGTTGTATTCCAACTCAAGAAGTCGAAGGTCTTCGAGGTCTCCAATGAATTGAGGGATCTCTCCACTGAATTTGTTGTTTCCCATGTTGATAACCATTATTTTCTCAAATTTATGAACAACAGAAGGGAAAAGACCATCAAATTGGTTCCCACTAATATCTAAAAATCTCAATCCTCTGGCTTGTTGAAGTTCCCCCGGAATACCACCAGTAAGGTTGTTCGAGCCAAGGTTAAGGTACACTAACGATCTGCAATTTCCGAAGCTGGTCGGAACTGTTCCGAACAAGTTGTTGTTAGAAAGATCAAGCAGCATAAGCTCATTGTTTTCTTGACATAGAGAGAATGGGATCCGACCCGAAATTCTATTATCAGAGAGTTTCAAGTACCTAATGTTGCCCTGTCCAACCTCTGAAGGAATGCTGCCTGTGAAATTATTTTCTGACAAATCCAAGATTTGTATGTTCCTGAGCCATCGAGGGATCGATCCTTGAAGCAGATTTCTTCTTAATCTAAGTGTTGTCTGCATGAAAGATGACTTTAGCTTAATGTTAGGTGGGATGACTCCTTGGAGTGTGTTGAAAGAAAGATCTAAGTAACCCAAATTGGGAAGATTGAACAACCAAGAAGGAATTGTTCCTGATAGGCCATTATTGGACAAACTTAATGATTCTAGTTTGGTCAGATTTGATATGAATTCTGGGATTTCACCTCCTATATTACATGAATCTAGGGACAAGAGTTGTGGCTGAAATGTTGGTGGAAAGGGTTGTTGGTCTACTTTCACAGTTAGTCCACTGTAACTGAGATAGAGCATGTACGGAGTCGAGTTTCGGAAGAATGATGACAATGAAGGGATCGATCCATTCATGTTGTTGGAGTTTACAACAAGGTAGCTGAGATCACGGAGCTGGCCTAAGCAATCCGGTAAGTTTCCGGTAAAAGAGTTGATTGCTAAAGCTAGATACCACAGAGATGAAATGGTACAAATCGTTTCTGGTATCGGTCCATGAAAAGAGTTCTGCATCAAAGATAAAAATTGCAGGCTTTTTAAATTGGATATTGAAGATGAAATCTCACCACTCATGTAGTTCATGTCTAGCGACAAGTATTCCAACCTCGAAAGGTTCATCATGGGGGTAGGTATCTGACCCTGAATGAAACTATTGTACGCTACGAATTCAACTAATGAGGTGGTGTTGCCAATGGTGGGTGGGATGGATCCAATAACATGGGTAGAAGATATGTCAATCGATTCTAATCTGGGCCAGGGAACCGCAAACATAGAATGGAGATCGACGGTAAGGTCTGAGTTGTTTCCCAAATAAAGTATCTTTAATTGAGGAAGGTAGGGGATATGGCCTTGCAGGTTTGATCTGGTGAGGTCAAGAACCCTCAGATAGGTGAGATTGGCCAACTTAGTCGGTATTTTCGTGGCGAGAAAGTTGAAGCTCATGTACAATTTAGATAGTCTGGTAAGGAAGAGAAGCTGTTCAACCGGAATCTCCCCAGAGATTCGACAGTTTGATAGGTCAAGCAACCTCAGCCTGGTAAGATTCGATATCGGTTTAGCCCATAGAACTGATGGAGACACCTGAGATAGATCAACACCACTGAGTTGAAGTTTTCTGAGATTTTTCAGCCCCTGTAACCATTTCAAATCCGATGCATACAAACGTCCCCGATCGATGTATGCATATAGAGAACCTAAATGAACTGTCACGGTAGATGACAAAGATGGGTAAGCAGATGAGTAGTCCACAACGACCGAAGCACACGAAAGATCGAGTTCAACAAGGGAAGTAAGGTTGGAAAACTGAGTTGTAATCGAGTCCTCGAACATAACATTCGATAGATTCAGATAAGTGAGTGCACTGAGGTTTGAGAATCCTAAAGGAACCTTTGAGAAGCTGAAGTTGTTGAAACTGAGGTCAAGGTATGTGAGATGAGTAAGGGAGAAAAGTGAAGGGGAGATGGTACCAACAAGAGCAGTAGATGGGACACTAGATGTTGAAAGAGGTTGGGAATTCATGTCCAGAATAAGGTTGTTTGGTTCGGGATTCCTGAGGTCGATGACCGTCACATGCAACGTGTCGGAACAGTTGATTCCGTACCAGCTGCAGCAGTTTCGGCCTTTCCATGAAGACAAACGATTCGAAGGGTCTGCCATGTTTGATTTGAAGCTCATCAATGCTTCTCTTTCTCGTCGATGACAAGCATCGATGAGAACAAGTTGGGAAGAAATGAGGAGTAGGAAAATGAAGAAGGCCATGATCATTGACAGAGGAATTTCTTGAATTTGATCTGTCAAGAGATCCCACTGCTCTTATAGGAGCAGTTGCTTTGAAACCCCTGTTGAAATTGAAAGGGACAAGCGAAACAGCCTGGAATGAGACTGAAAAATGCCTGTTAAATTATATTACTTGAAGAAGGGGTACAGCGATTCATGCTTAGTATGTCACATTGATCAACGACTGAACAAGGTATTATATATTACATATACTTGATGCCTTGGGATTCAAGTCAAAGTTATTTAAGATGCTTAAGGGCGCCTTCAACATTTAATTAAATCTCAAATTATTAAATTTAAAAAATTAAATCAATTAAACTATGATTAATTTCGATTGTTAATTTTTAATAATTTTTGGGTAAATTATGTGTTTAGTACCTAAACTATCAATTTTGATCCGTTTTAGTACCTAAACTTTCATTTCTCTCTCTCGAAATCACACCTAAACTTTCAGTTTTATTTCATTTTAATTCTCCATCGTTAAGAACTTTAGTTTTTGTTTTATTTTAGTATTTCGTTCAAAATTTAATGTTAAGTAGATATTAAAACAGATCAAAATTGATAGTTTGAGTACTGAGCGAGTAAAGTTTTTAACGGCGAGATACAAAAATGAAATGAAAACTAAACGTTAGGTACGATTTTGAAAAAAAAATTAAAAATTAAAAGAAAACCAAAATAGAACAAAACAGATAGTTTATGTATTAATGTAGTTTACCCTTAAATCTATTTAAAATTATATTCCATGTTTCTTGTTTGACTTGAACTTTAGTGTATTAAATTAGCTATTTAACTTAGGTTTTGAGCACCTAGAAGTTCCTCCAAGAATTTCCAATTCCACACGTAATTTAGACTTTTTCAAATTTCAATTTATAAAATAATTAAAATATATAATTTTTTTTATTCAGGGATGGATCGAAGGGGTGTTGGGGTGCAGTTGCAACCTGTAGAATTTTTACATTCTCTTATATTTTAAATTTTATCTTTGTATTTTCTATTAATTATCTAATTTCGCACCCCTTAAAATTTTTAATATAACTTCTTGAGTTCGTACTCTCTGATATAAATTTATGCGTCTGTCCATAACAATTGCAATTTATATTCATAATTCAATCCTTCACCTACCCCAGTAAAATTTTGCAAACACCATAACCAAATTCAATAGGCAAACCACATTGAAACGGTTCAATTTGACTTTGAGATTTTCTCTGCTTCTTTCTTTGACTCCTAGTTTATCATCTAATAATTTTTATAAAAATATATTTTATAAACAATATTGAAAATTAAAATACTAAAAAAAAACTAGCATCAAAATGATAATTTAATTATAACTTTTTTTTTATAAAGTTTAGGGATGATAATGAGTCGGATCTGGACTGGATGCAGCTAGACCTAGATCCAGACCCGCTCTAGATCCCCAAATCTAGAAAATTGAGACCCAGATTCAGATCCAACAGATCTCACGAATCCGGGTCCAAAACGGGTCTATTTAGAAAATGACCATTTAACATATTTTTTAACGTAATAAAATTGTCATTGACTAATTTCACATCACATCTCCAATGGAGGAAATATTAATTTCAACACAACTAGTAACAAAATAAAAAATGATAAACTAAAGTCTAAAAAAATTCCAACACAATTACGCAAATGTCTTTTGAATAACACAAATATTAAAAAATGTATATCATGAAACATTCAATTGTCTTAAACGAGTTTAAAATCTATAAGAACTCAACCATATAAGAGCGACTCCCTCTATAAAATATTTGTATATATATTAAAACCTATTATGTCATTTATATATATTTTAAAACCAAATGTGAGCTTTCTATAAATAAGTAAACGAATTTAGATTCGATATCTTAGTGTCAGATCTCAACCCAGATTTATACTTTTATCAGAAAATCCAAACTCAATCCAACCCGGATTCGTCGGATTCAAAATTTTAGGATTAAGAACCTATAAAACGGATCGGATCTACGAATTTAGATCGGTCCAAGATCCATCGCCATCCCTAATAAAATTATTTAATTTTTCGTGACCGAAACACGTTGTACGGAAAGTAGTATAAGAGATAGTCAACCTTTTACCTACTTTGGTGGCTTCTTTCTTCATACTTTATACGGGAGAATTATATGGCACAATCATTTATTTTAAGGTTAATATAATGCGCGATTTAAAATATTATAAATCAACATAATATTTTAGATTGAGCGTAATTTAAAATGATATTTTTTTTTACTTTTTTTCGTAAACGTATTTTAGGTTGCAATCGAAAATGCTATCATTTTTATAATATTTTAGAGTGCAACTGAAAATGTTAAAAAATATGATCTTTTAGGTTGTGCGTAACCTAAAATATTATGTTGTTTATAATATTTTAGGTCACGTCTTTTCTTAACCTTATATTAGGTTGTCCCACCCCAGAACTCATCCTTTACAAGTGTTATTTTGTAAAAAAAAAGTTTTTCCTTCTCTTAAAAATTATTTTCATTTAATAATTTTGTGTAAAATATTTTTAATTTATAAATTGAATTTTGAAAAATCCACGATGTATAAAAATATCAATGATCAATCCTTCTTTTTATTAACTTGAATTCAAGCTAATATCTATTTAAAGACTCAATCATTTTATAACGAACACTCGTACACTTTTACATATGTGAGGTTTAAATTCGAGACTTCAAGAGATAACAATAATTTTTTAACCATTGATGTTGTCGTAACCGTTTTTCGTCCGGGCACGAAATATTTACTTGACGGGAAAATTGATGTGAATAGATAGTTTTGAAAATAATTTGGGAGTCGCCATCGACCTTTTGAGTCAGGTAGGTCGAATACCTAAAAATTATCTTTTAACAGAGTTTTTAAGAAAACATTAGCTAAAAGATGAACTGATCTGCGTTTTAACCAAAAATTTGTTTTTTTTAATAATAAAAAGGGATTCGTGGTCGGTTACGTTTAGGGAAGGATTAACACCCCTACAACGCCCAAAATTGGTACTTTTTAATTATAAATTGTCTCTATTATTAGAAATTTAAAAATTCAAAATATATTTAATTTATAATTATGTTATTTCAAATTTTATTAATATAATTTTTAAGAAAATATATTAATTTATAAAAATATTTATTTATTTAGAAATATCAGAAAATGACTTCTAGGTATTTTAAGACAGCTCTTTTCTTAGATATTAAAAAATAAATACATATCAAAATATGTTTATTTTTAAAAGTAATTTATAAAATTAAATTTATAAATAGGATTTTTATTTAATAAACGAATAAATAAATAAATAAATAAATAAATAAATATTATATAAATATGTTTATATAACTTAATAATAATAATAAAATAATAATGAAGATAATAATTTAAACATATATCAAACGTAATAATAAAATAAAATAATAATAATTAAAATGAAAGAAATTAAAAGTAATAATATTAAAAACTAATGGATCATATTCATAAATATATGAACTTAAAAATGTAAAAATAATAAAACTTATGGTTTAAATTAAGATTATATAAAATTTAATGATCAAATTATAAAATATAAATATTTAAGAGACATGGTTAGAATTATCATAAAATATAAATACTAGTAGTGTAATTAACCATTATTTGTTTAATCAATGATTAAAATAGAAATATTAAAATTAATAGGGACTAAATGTGATATTTGTCCTAAATATATTATTTAATACTGGTAAGGATTAAAACATAATAAAATAAAATTCGAAGACTGAATTAGAACATTCAGAAGTTAGTTTTAGTGACTAAAATGAATAATTACAAAATTCGGATGGCTACGGAAGGGGTTTAGCCATACATGTAAAATACGCATATACCCCTTCCCAAAACGACGTCGTTCGGGAAGGGGTATAAATCCCCCAAACGGCTGGCCCGAAGGGCCAGCTCTCTCATTCTCCTTTCTTCCTTCTCTCTCAACACTGAGAGAGAGCCAGAATCCTCTCGCCTCTCTCTTCAATCCTCCAAACGGAGGTTGGCCGGCCACCGGCTGATAGCCATACTCCGGCACCGACACCACCGCCGGCCACCACCCACGGTGGCCGGAATATGCAAAAAATACCCTAATCTTAAAGATCTACTTGCCACGAACCCGAATCTAGCCTCATTTTATCCTAAAAACCCTTAGATTTTCTTAAATCTAAGAAAATACCTTAGGTATTTTCGGTTCTCCGGCAAGATGAGAAGGCTCCGATGATCGCGTCTCTATTGGTAAGCTTTTCTCCTTTTTCTTTCTTTCTGTTTTATGGATTTTGATGGTTATTGTGTTATTTTCCTCTGACTTCTTGGTTGATGTTCGTATCTCTCTTTTTTTTTCTTGCTCTCTGTGGCTGTGTGTGGTTACTGCTTTGCTTGCCCTTTCTTCGTTTCTGTCCCCTCTCTCTCTTTGCAGGTTTAGTGGTGGCTTTTATAGCCACCACAGTGTACTCCTCGGACCGGTCCCATGGGTAGCATCTTTGGTGAGTCACCAAGCTATGGCGGTGACTCACCATAGAGCACTGATTTGGTGAGGCAGCTGGCTTCTGGAAAGCTCGACGAGGCCGGCGTCGTGGAAGCAGCAGCGTCAGCAGCAACTGGTTGGACCATCTGGCATCAGAGAGTCGGTCGTCGGGTTGGCTTCAGGGGTGGCGCCGCGTGGTCCTAGGGTTATGATAACCCTAGGGTTTCTTGCTGGAGCATCTGGGGACCGTTGGATCAAGGCCAGATCCAACGGCTGTGAGCTGAGGCGGCTGACTGCTGGAAAAGGATAAAACCCTAATTGGGTTTAGGGTTCTACTTTGGGCCATCCGGATTGGGTCTCTAATTGGGCCTGAACTGGGTTCTCGGGTCTTGGGCCTTCTGGGACTGATTGTAATATATTTGGGCTTGTAATTATTTTTATTTAATATATATATATATATATATATATATATATATATATATATATATATATATAATAAAAAAGTATACTGAAAAATTAATGTCTACAGATGTCACTTAGTTTTAGAGGATGAATCATTCCAAGCATAAAGTATTATTATTATTATTATTATTATTTTACTTTCTAAATTTTTGTATCTTATACATTTTTGGGTTTTTTTGTCAATTACAACAACCGAACTTTTTATTTAGCCCATTAGAGTACTCGGTTTTTATTTTTAAACTTTTTTGATATAATATTAGTGTTTGATCTATTAATTCATTAATTCAAAAATATCCTTTTTTTAATGATTATTTGCATGTTATAGTGAAGATGTGGAGAGTTGGACTATCAAGCGAGCTGTAGGCGTGGAGGGCCTAGAGGCAGCGACGGCAACTAATGACTTTGGTGCTACAAACGGCGGTGACTAACCTTAATTTTAGGGTTAGTCAAAGTTAAAAAAAAATATGGGTATAAGTTAGGGTTTTTGGGATTGAGCCTGAAATTGTATTCAAGTATTGAGCTTAACATATTTGGATCATAAATGGACATGGACTCTTACTTTTAGATTCTTTTTGGGTTTAATTCAATTTGAGATCCATAATAAAAATGATATTGGAAAAAGGTTAGGACGAAATGGATAATTACACCCTTTTATTTATTTAAGAAATCTACTATCTCATCTCACTAAATTATTTAGTTGGTGGATGACTCTAATTAATAATAAGTTTAAAGATAAAAAATTAGGGTTATGGGATAATAATGTTGTGGTATATGTGTTCGAACAATTTAATTAATATATCATGTCATCCACCGCGTCAACAATCATCATAAATTCCTTCATAAAGAGACTATAAATAATCAATCTTCTCTCGACTCCTTACATCACCAATCATTCGAACCCCTGACCTTGCTTAAGGGATCTCATACCACTAGACCAACTGGTTGTTGGCGGAGAACCAAGTAATTTACTTCTCTAGTAAGAACACATTTTATGTGATCCATTGTTTCGTCGTTACGTTCTTTACAATAATGTGTATGATCATTTGGATTTCTTTCTTTCTCACAGAAATCACAATATTACATGTTCGAATCATCTTCAACAAAAGATTGGACCAAAGATTGACAATTCATAGATTGTGCATTTTGGTTGATATTTAAGGGTCATTGCAGTAGCCAAGGACAAGCTTATGGTTGTGGCCGAGATTGTCCAACTCGGTTCACTCTTGTGAAACCCTAACTAGGGGCGCAAATGAATCGCTATTGAATGAATAATAATATGTTCGTGTCCGATTGTTTACTTTTAAATGTATTCGTGTTTGTGTTCATGTTCATTTGTTTAACGTTGGTGAACATGTTCATTTGCCAGATAAAAAATAGTAAAACTATGCCACTAGTGTTTGAACTCCTTAAGTTTCATAATTTAAACTTCAAATTTCACCATGTGTTCAATGTAATTTCTACCTTCACCAATATTTAAACTGTAAAAAAAAATTAAACGAGCTTCTAAACGTGCCATTAAACGAGCTTGTTCGTAAACATAAACAAACGAGTCGATAAACAACATTTAAATTCCTTGTAGCTTACACCATTAATTACCAAACGACAATTTGGAATAATGTACAGATAATACATAAAATATTATACACTCTCAACACATCAAATATTATACACTCAACACATAAAATATTATGTACAACTAAAACAATCTCAGGAAAGGGATTGATTAATTGATCGAATTGGTCATTAATCAGAAGATAGTCTGCTTTTAATGCATCTGATGATTTCCGCTACGATTCGATCAACAATTTCCCAGTAAGCCTCCCTCCATCTCTTATTCACCAAGTAAACAACCCCGAAAAGCCCCCAGAAGCCAACTACATACCCTGCAAACACAACAGCCAGCAGTAATCTCCACTCTCCGGATTGATCTTCAATACCATCAGGTGATTTCGACGTTGGGAAATCGTCGTTGTCGTCACAGTCGATACCATCAGGAGCTCCACACAAGAATCTGTTGCCAATTTATGCTAGTCCATCTCTACTCAACGTATCAAAGTGTGGACTCGTCGCGATTTTCCCACTTAAACTGTTGTACGCCAAGTTTAATGTCGTAATTGAATCCAGCCGAGTCAATGAACTCGGGATTTCTCCACTTAGATTGTTGTAACTGAGGTCCAGAGATTCAAGGAGACTCATGTTCCCTATGGTAAACGGGATGTTACCAGAGAGACCATTATGGGAGAGATTAAGTGCGTAGAGCCCTTGCAGGAGGCCTAATACTGACGGAATGTTTCCGGTCAGATTGTTGCATGAAAGATCCATTTCATTATGGTATGTTCGAACCACATCGAATTGCAGTAACAATCCCTTAGCCACCATATGCACTTTAACACCAATGTATAGTTGCAAGATAAAAAACCCGAGAAGATCTCCGTCTTTCGGTCAGTTTACGATCGTCTTTAATCCGGATAGCTTATCAGGGATTGGACCAGACAATTGATTGTTTGAAAAGCCAATGAACTGCAGATTTTCTAGACCAAATATCTCTTCCGGGATTGAACCATTGAAAAAGTTGTATTCCAACACAAGAACTCGAAGGTCTTCGAGGTCTCCAATGAATTGAGGGATCTCTCCACTGAATTTGTTGTTTCCCATGTTGATAACCATTATTTTCTCAAATTTATGAACAACAGAAGGGAAAAGACCATCAAATTGGTTCCCACTAATATCGAAAAGTCTCAATCCTCTGGCATGTTGAAGTTCCTCTGGAATACCACCAGTAAGGTTGTTCGAGCCGAGGTTAAGGTACTCCAACGATCTGCAATTTCCGAAGCTTGTCGGAACTGTTCCGAACAAATTGTTGTTGGAAAGATCAAGCAGCATAAGCTCATTGTTTTCTTGACAGAGAGAGAATGGAATCCGACCCAAAATTCGGTTTTCAGAGAGATTCAAGTACCTAATGTTGCCATGTCCAACCTCTGAAGGAATCCTGCCTGTGAAATTATTTTCTGAAAAATCCAAGATTTGTATGTTCCTGAGCCGTCGAGGGATCGATCCTTGAAGCAGATTGCTTCTTAATCTAAGTGTAGTCGGCATGAAAGATGACTTTAGCTTAATGTTAGGTGGGATGACTCCTTGGAGTGTGTTGAAAGAAAGATCTAAGTAACCCAAATTCGGAAGATTGAACAACCAAGAAGGAATTGTTCCTGATAGGCCATTATTGGACAAACTTAATGATTCTAGTTTGGTCAGGTTTTATATGAATTCTGGGATTTCACCTCCTATATTACATGAATCTAGGGACAAGAGTTGTGGCTGAAATGTTGGTGGAAAGGGTTGTTGGTCTACTTTCACAGTTAGTCCACTATCTGCTAAGTCTACAATATATGGAGTCGAGTTTCGGAAGAACGATGACAATGAAGGGATCCATCCAATCATGTTGTTGGAGTTTACAACAAGGTAGCTGAGATCAAGGAGCTGGCCTAAGCAATCCGGTAAGTTTCCAGTAAAAGAGTTGATTGCTAAAGCTAGATACCACAGAGATGAAATGGTACAAATCGTTTCTGGTATCGGACCATGAAAAGAGTTCTGCATCAAAGATAAAAATTTCAGGCTTTTTAAATTGGATATTGAAGATGAAATCTCACCACTCATGTAGTCCATGTCTAGCGACAAGTATTCCAACCTCGAAAGGTTCATCATGGAGGTAGGTATCTGACCCTGAATGAAACTATTGTACCCTATGAATGCGACTAATGAGGTGATGTTACCAATGGAGGGTGGGATGGATCCAATAACACGGGTAGATGATATGTCGATCCATTCTAATATTGGCCAGGGGACTGCGAACATAGAATGGAGATCGACGGTAAGGTCCGAGTCGTTTCCCAAAAAAAGTATCTTTAGTTGAGGAAGGTAGGGGATATGGCCTTGCAGGTTTGATCTGGTGAGGTCAAGAACCCTAAGATTGGTGAGATTGGCTAACTTACTCGGGATTTTAGTTGCGAGAAAGTTGAAGTTCATGTACAATTCAGATAATCTGGTAAGGATGAGAAGCTGTTCAACCGGAATCTCCCCAGAGATTCGACAATTCGATAGGTCAAGCAACCTCAGCTTGGTAAGATTCGTTATTGATTTAGCCCATAGCGCTGATTGAGACACTTCAAATAGATCAACACCACTCAGTTGAAGTTTTCTGAGATTTTTCAGCCCCTGTAACCATTTCAAATCCGATGCATACAAATGTCCCCCATTGATGAATGCATACGGAGAACCTGAATGAATTGTCACGGTAGATGACAAAGAAGGGTAAACAAATGAGTAGTCCGCAACGACCGAAGCACACAAAAGATCGAGTTCAACAAGGGAAGTAAGGTTGGAAAACTGAGTTGTAATCGAGTCCTCGAACATAACATTCGATAGATTCAGATAAGTGAGTGCACTGAGGTTTGAGAATCCTAAAGGAACCTTTGAGAAGCTGAAGTTGTTGAAACTGAGGTCAAGGTATGTGAGATGAGTAAGGGAGAAAAGTGAAGGGGAGATGGTACCAATAAGAGCAGTAGGTGCGACAGAGGTTGAGAATTCATGTCCAGAATAAGGTTGTCCGGTTTGGGATTCCTGAGGTCGATGACCGTCACATGCAGAGTGTCGGAACAGTTGATTCCGTACCAGCTGCAACAGTTTCGGCCTTTCCATGAAGACAAACGATTCGAAGGGTCTGCCATGTTTGATTTGAAGCTCATCAATGCTTCTCTTTCTCGTCGATGACAAGCATCGATGACAACAAGTTGGGAAGAAATGAGTAGGAAAATGAGGAAGGCCATGACGATTGACAGAGGAATTTCTTGAATTTGATCTGTCAAGAGATCCCACTGCTCTTATAGGAGCAGTTGCTTTGAAACCCCTGTTGAAATTATGCATTTAGTACTTAAACTATCAATTTTGATCCATTTTAGTATCTAAACTTTCAATTTTTCTCAAAATAATACATAAAGTTTCGTTTTTGTTTCATTTTAATGCCTCGTTGTTAAAAACTTTAGTTTTTTTTTTTCATTTTTAGTACCCATTAAATGTTTAGGTACTAAAACGGATCGCAAATGATAGTTCAGGTTAAGCGCGTTAAGCTTTTAACGGAGAGGTACTAAAATGAAATGAAAACTAAACGTTAGGCATGGTTTTGAAAAAATTGTAAGTTTAAATACTAAAATAGATAAAATTGAGAATTTAGATAGTAAATACGTAGTTTACCCTAACATTTTTATATTATAAATATTTTCTAATGACTCTAAAATAATTCTCTATGAGATATGAGTAATCTAAAAACAAAGGTAGATGTAACCATCAATACTGTGATGTTACATTTAGAATTATGTTTCTTGTTCGACTTAAACTTTGGCTATTTAACTTAGGGAATGAGCAGCTGCAGGTTCCTCCAAGAGTTTCCAATTCCACTCCTAATTTATAAAACAATTAACATGTATAAAGGGTTTTTTATTAGTTAAAAACGTTGCTTTATATGATAATCCATGTGCTTCATCATACTTGTAATTTGAATAAAAATTAAATAAGAATAGTGTAGAGAGTAAGGGGCGATCTGCAGGGAATATGAAATTGTCGATGAATTGATTCTTACTTCTGGACTAGGCGTGAACTGCAAAATAAAAATGAGGGGGTTGTTTGATTGAAAATAAAGAAAATAAAAGTTAAAGGAAAGAAAGTTGAATTAAAATTTTAATCACTCCCTCCGTCTAACTAAATGTGTTTTTATGTGGACTAAGCGCGACAATCGTTATTAGTACAACTTGATTTTAAAGCTTTGAAAAACCCGACTTGAAAAGTATCTTGTTGAGAATCAAATCCGATCTCAGATCCCAATAGTGGACCGCCGCTAAGTGTGTTCACAGGAAGTCAAATATGTTACAAGTCGATCCTTCTTCTCAATTGTTAATCGAAACAACTAACAAACCAACGAGTTCTTTTTGATTTGAAAGCATTTTGATTATAAAAGGATAGTTGATTACCGATCCTTGATTCCAGAAAACTGAGAATGTAACCCGAAGGGTATTGAGTGATTTTCAATTCTCACAATCGAAATTGAGTCATCGTTTCAGCATTTGTCTATGAAAAACTTAGCTAAGTATGATAGAAATCATACTTAGCATTTTAAAACAAAAGTAAAACTTTATAAAAGAGAGAAAACAAGAACAAAGAAAAACAAGAGAATTCAAAATATTTGAGGCTTATTCCAAGGGGTATTTATAGTCTCCTCACAACCCTAAAAATCCTAAGAGATAATTCCTATTAAATGTAAAGATATCTCCTAAAAATCACAAAAGATTATTTCTAATAAATTGCAAAAGATAATTCCATTAAATGTTTGAAATAAATCCCAAAAATATAGATAAATCCTAAATTCACGTCTGGATTTGTGGCTGAGTCTTCTGCTTGCACGAAAATATTGACTGGATCTTCTAGAAGATGTCGACTTGTCACCACATCAGTGAGGTCATGCCCCATTGATCCAGTCATGATTCCGGAAAAATAAAAACTTACATAATTTGCCCCTTTTGGCATAGTTTTTTTGAATCCAATAGCCTGCATAGAAAATAACATAAAACACCCAACTTATTAACATAAACCGACGAATAAAGGAGTAATTATCAATAAAATAATAACAAAATTAAGCACTCATCAAGCTTATACGCCAAAGGAGTATTTAAATGAAAAAAGATATTATACTTTAGATACCCATTCTGACCAAAAAAATACTTTAAGTACCAAAATGAAAAAAGTAATATACTTTAAATACCTATGTGTAATATAAGCCCCTTTTTGAAATATTTGTTAAACTCATTGGTGGTGGATGCAATGAGAGTTCCATGTGAGCATCACAGTCAAAACTTCCATATAAGAGCCATCATAGTATACATAAAACTAAAGTTCAATTGGTAGCAATTGGTACTAATTAAAGAACAAAACAAGACGATATACTGATTGTTGGCTTCAACAGGTTGGATTTGATTATTTGATTGACATATAAATTAAATATTCATTAATAAAAATATTTTTAGAACATTTTTTCTTTAAATTTTAAACATAATTTTATAGATAAAACAAATGAGCTCTTACAGCTATAAATGGTTCATCCTTTTTGATTTAAGCGAAAAGTTACGATTGGTAGAAGAGTGGTCGTTTGTTACTATCTAAACCTTCTGTGTCTCTGACAAAAAATAAAAGAGATCACATTAAAAGATCACGTATGTTTGTTAGAGGTTATGTCAAAATATTACAGCATTTCCTTAGCCATATATTAAGGCTGTCGTACTGCAGAAATTTCCGCACAAACCTAGTGCCAGCTTTCTATTAAAACAACTTGGAGAGTGAATCGCACGTCACTCTTTTTAAACGGCTTATAAAGGCATGGAACTTTATAGCTTTCCCACCTAACCCACTACTCATAAAAGGAGCCCCATTTTCATCACTTACATCCCAAGCTTTTTCTTAGAGATGGCGCATGGAAGTGGCAGTTCAAATCAAGCCATGTTCATGGTTCCATTTCTACTTTACCTCCTCATTTTCTCAGAAACCGTCGATGCGACAACGTATACCGTCGGAGGTTCCGACGGTTGGACCTTCAACACGGCCACTTGGCCTCGAGGGAAGCATTTTCGGGCCGGTGACAAACTCCGTAAGAACATACGTACATACACACACACCATCTAAAATTGAGTTTTGAAGTTGCATATCTGATTTGTCTGCAGTGTTCAAATACGATCCGGCGCTCCACAATGTGGTGGGGGTGAGCAGTGGAGGTTACCGGCGATGTATTACGCCGGCGGCGGGCGCAAAAGTGTATAAATCGGGGAAAGATGAGGTGAAACTGCGCAAAGGAATGGACTTCTTTATATGCAACATCGCTGGCCACTGTGAATCTGGAATGAAGATAGCCATTAATGCAGTGTAATCATCTTCTTTTTCCGATTTATCAGGGCTTAAATGTGCATTTCCAGTTCAATATATGGTTTAAATTTGCGTTGCTGGTTCAATATAGCTGTTGCGATGTGTTTTCAATTATATTCTTTTGTCATGTCTTTTTCTTCAATTTAGCTGTTGCGATGTAATATTTTTGTTGAAATTGTTGTTTAAATTTACATGGTTGCTGTTTAGACTAAAGGAAACAAAAAAAATTAAAATTTTGATTTAATCCAAAGATTGGTTGAATTAATTAATAAAATCAATTCGGTTGGATTAATTACTTTTTTTTAAATTTGATTAAAAGTTAATTATATATTTGGATTTTGATTAATTTGGTTAATGATAATTTGTACTATTTGAACACCCTTATCTTTTATTTTTCAAAAAATGGTACCTAAATTATTGCATTTTTTCACAAAATTACCACCCAAAAAGAAGTAATTTTGTTTAAAAAAACAAGCGAACACTTCCAACAAAACATGTGAAATTATGTTCTCAACAAGATAAGATGTCACTTCACATTCTTATGATATTATTAACTTGGGTGAATCCTCTTATTAAAGGATTAAATTAAAATTGAAATTAAATTAATAAAATAAATAAATATGTAATTATACTAATTTTTTTAACGTCCAAGTTAATCTATCCATTAAATATTAATAGTTGATAGTTTGATTAGCTTGTTATACTAATTTAATCTATCCATTAAATGTAGTTATGCGGTCTTCTTTTCTTCCTTTGTTTTTTATTTAGTCGACGGCGGTACTAATCTTAATATTGGTTGTCGACTTAATATTGGTTGTCGACCGTCGATGATTTTTATTTTTCTTGTTATTTTTCATATCATGTCTTTGTTTTTTTTATTGAGTTTTTTCACTTTTAAATAAAAATATTTGTCCTTGTAACACGTTTTTCCCTACTCTTGTGGCACATTTTTTCTCTACTTTTGTGGCACGTTACTTATGGTTTTTGTTAAGTTTTTTGCATACTTCTGTGGTCGTTTTGGTGCTTCTACAAAGATCCTCAAGACATTAGTTTTTTGATTGGCTTGTCGATGATCACGTATTGTCATATCCCCTCTTTTGTAAATGATCGTTTGCCGATATAATCAGAATTGTGTAGCGAAACAGTCTGTCAAATTGTTTGGTTCGCTCACCACTCCTTTATCACATCGTAAAACATTTTGTTTGACAGAGAAAAAAGAGTTTTATGAAGGTTACTGGATTGTTTTGATGTTTGGAAAGTTTCATTATCTTCGTATCTTTGGGCTTAATAATTCAATTTTATGTATGAGTTTTTGGTGATTATTGTCTCCAATTTTCTTTTTAGATGCATTGTAATTTTGATTCCTCCATTTTTATTAATGAAATTCAGTTGCCATTGTTTCAAAAAAAACAATACTTAAATAATTAAAGGGTAAATTGCACGTTTAATACATAAACTATTACTTTTGTTCCATTATGGTATCTATTTTTTTTTTAAATCATATCTAACGTTTTATTTAGGTTTCATTTTGGTATCATGCCATTAAAAACGTAATGGAAATGTTCTACGTGACAATTTTATGGATAAATTACATCATTTATCACTCAACTATTTTCTGACTCATATTTTGGTCACTAAAGTTTATTTTTTTAATTTAACTACTCAACTTTTAAATTACTTCTATTTTAATCACTCTAATTTATTTTATTAATAATTTTTGTGACATTATATTTTTTTATTATTATTTTGTTAATATAATTAAAATAAAAAAAATAAATTTTGAAAGTTAGAATGATTAAATTAGGAGTAATTTGAAAGTTCAACAATTAAATTAAAAAATAAAATTCAATGACCAAAAGGAGTGAGAAGATAATTGAGTGATGAATGATGTAACTTATCCATAAAAAAGTGCAACATACAAGAGTTTCGTTAATTTTTTAACAAAAATGTACCAAAACGAAACAAAAAGTAAATGTTAGGTGTGATTTGAAAAAAATGAAAGTTTAGATACCAAAGCGGAACAAAAGTAATAGTTTAGGTACTAAACATGTCGTTTACCCATAATTAAATGATAAAATAAAAGATCCATGGTCAAAATCATGAGAGTAAAAATAAGTTTTATTATTTGTATCATTTATTATTGTTATTATTATAAAAAGGAATTCATCCTAATTTATACATAAAATTAATTAGTTTACTTTTAAATGTTATTAACTTTATAATTTCAAATCTAGTAAAATTTTAATATTATTTTTAAAAATTTATCCTTTCTACATTAAAATTTTGCACCCTTTTCCATGTAGACATATGACACACATTAACCAGGATTGTTTTTGGTTGTAAATAAACAAAAGTGTTTGGTGAATTGTTCGTATAACGTTTGTTTCTTTTTGTTTATTAAGTTAAAATTAAGTTAAATAAATGACTATGGACATAATTTTTATGTTAAATGAACGGACACAAATAGAGATGTATTCGATTCGTTTATGTTCACGAACAAACTGTTTTATTAACTCGATTCGTTTATGTTCACAAACAAACTGTTTTATTAACTCGATCATGTTCACGAACAAACTGTTTTATTAACTCGATTGTTTATGTTCGCTGACAAACTTGTTTAATGAATCATTTTGAAGCCCTTTTGCTTTCTAAGATATCAGATTCTTGACCATACATCGATTTAGCTACCGGAAGAAGATTTACAGTAGGGGCTCCTTGTTTTTGGTATTTACTGGGGGTTCTTGTCGTCCTAGAGGGAGGTTCCTCAAATGATGCAGGTTGTTATATTTGTACTATTACAGTGTATGATGTGACGCGGCGAGACACATTTACGAATCTATCCGACATATGGGCTAAAGAAATCGATCTGTACTCGACAAATGAGGACCGCATCAAGGTAGAGTTCGACCGAGGTCGTTTGTTTTTATGTTTGGCTATTGGTCCGGTTCTCTGCAGCATCTAACACACCCATCACGTATATAGGAAAGTGAAAGAGTGGTAAGCAAGAAAGAGGGCATCGAGTTTGCTCAGAAATGCGGATGCCTATTCACCGAGCCAATGTGGAGCAATGCTTCGAGGAGCTCGTCTTAAAGGTATCTATCTACTTATTCTGTCTCGAGTCGATGTGGAGCAATGTGGTATATGTAACAGATGCTTAGATAGTTCGTTTAGCATTGGGGTTTATGTCTGGTTTGCAGATATCGGATACACCGAGTCTCGTGGCCGAGGGATCATATGGGGTAAAGAAGAACATCTTCAAACAACATCCTTCCGACACGACTGGTAGCTGTTGCTCGCCGGACTACTCCGAAGGTCGTGTTTAATTTTCTTACACAGCTTTACACCTGTTTATTTTTAGCTTGTTCATGTGGTGCCATGTACATGATGGGGACTAAGCCTTTAAAGTCATAGCTCATTGGATCTAATGAAACAAATTCTTTGATCTTCTGTCTCCTTCATATCTACCTTCTTTAATAAATTAATTACAAATTTAGAGGTGAATGTAGTCGGTGATGGTTCCAAAAATATTTTTCAAGATGAATACATATATATTAATAATATAAAGTTTTTATATGGATAAATATAAATAAAATTTCAGTGTCCACCATTAATAAAATAAACAATTAACATATAAAAAGTCGAATTACAAGATAGACATGTATTTGTACTGAATAATACATACATCAGTCACTGATTATAGTAAAAATTTATACAAATAAATTACATGATTCACATATTTTTCCTATAATAATAATAATTATTATTATTGATAGAAAGCTGATAGTTTTATTAAAAATAGAAAATATTCAGAATTATTTATAAATAAGACGTAAACAAAATTATAATTAGAACATTTTTCTATAACTATTGATACAAAAACTAACCACTCAGATCACACAATGACCAAAAAGAAAAAATTAAAAAATCTAACCAATACTCGATTAAAATAACGATACAAACAAATCTGAATGCATCGGCAAATAAACACAAAAGGGGATGAAGCTACTAAAGGTCACCAACAAATCGCAAATCAAATTCAAGCGACGTGAGAAAACTATACACGAACGCAAGACGTGTATCCAAATCAATCCGATGGTCCAAAACAAAGAATATAATCATGATAGTAAATAAATGTCATCTTAATCAACTATGTAGATGTTAAATCTAACCCTAAAAAAATAAACAAAAACAACGGTAAAAACCCATAATTTCAGGGGGTTAAAGTGCAAATAAACACCGATTGGCTAGGATCTGACTTCGAGCAGTTCCAACCTTACAACTAGCAGGACTGCCAAACATCTTATTTGCATGATTTTACGTGTGACATTGCCATTTTCAGAGGAGATAGCTGCTGGAAAAAGAAACTGCCGCATTCCAATGGAGGAGAAGATAACAACGTTAAAGGCAAAGCATTTATTAAAGGCGCCAAAGTCCCTTCTCCACCACCAGTCCCTGATATTCCAGATCGCGTTGAAGAAAAGAAGAAAGGCTCTTTGAGTTTGATCACCACTGGATCGATACTCTTGGGCACCTCTGTATTTGTAAACTTCACCTTGGTTGCTGCATCTTGCCTTGGGGTTTTCCCCATTTACAAGGCCGTGGCTGGGGGCGCAAACTGCACTACCGCGCATGGTCTAAAAAATGGGTCTCAAAAAATATATAGTGACGTTTTTCTAATAAACGCTACTATAGATAGATTTATTGCGACGTTTTTTTAAAAAACGCCACTATTATTGTGGTTTTATTAATAAAACGCCATTATAGATGAATTTATTGCCGTGTTTGTCAAGAAAACGCCACTATCATTGTCCCGAAATCGAATATATCTAAAAAATAGGAATCCTTTTATACGAATTTGTACAGACTCCCGAAAATCCTGCCACGGCCGTGCCCATTTACCATAAAAAAGTTGTCCAAAAGTACTAACCAAGTTGGATTGGAGACAAAGTTGAGGGTTTTCACCAACAAAGAACTTTGCAGAAGCTACAAATGATTTCAAGGAAGAGCTTGGAAGAGGGACCTTTGGCATTGTCTACAAAGGAACAATAGGGACGAGTAGCGTGGCAGTGACGATCAATATGATCGGGCAGACACATTATAAGAACCTGGTTAAGTTAAGTTACTAGGAGTTTGCGAAGAGGGAGAGAAACGTTTGTTGGTGTACGACTTCTTAAGCAATGACACTTTAGCCGATTACCTGTTCCGAAACACGAAGCCGAGTTGGAATCAAAGGACCAAATTGCCATAGCAATTGCTTTGTCCCTAAATGGGTTGTAGATGAGAGGGAGGTGTGCGGACTGCGGAGCAAGAAGCTGGGGTATGGAAAGAAAACATATAAAATGGGTAAATTAGAACTTTGTCCCTAAATTATTTTGAATTTATAAAATGATCCCTAATTAGTTTTTTCTTTAAAGCTAAGGGTTAAAGTAAAAAATTAAACCCTTTTTACTAGCATGCGACTTCATCAGTGACCACATCTTAATTAAAACAAACAAAAAATGATCGCATATTAACTTTTTTAAATAGAGTGAATATACGTTTATAAAAATAAAACTAAAATGACCAAGTGCGTAATCTAAAAAGTCTAAACCAAAGATAAATTAATAAAATAGTTAAAAAGTATTTTTTTAAAATTTTTATTAAAGTTTTATGGAATTAACTATATTGAATATTAAAACTTAAAAGCATGAGTATAATAAACTAAATAAAATATCTTGAAAATTCTATCCAAATCTAATCCGAACATGCTATTATTGATGTTGTTGGTCCTACATTATTACATCTTGCAGTTTCTTACAAACTCTCTTTTTTCGTGGGTAGAGTAAATCAAAGTCTTCAAGCCTTCCCTCTTGTCTCTTCTCCGCCCCACCTCCCTCGGTTCTTTTCCTCTCAAGACGCGGCGCCGTGGACGGCGGCGCATGCTTTTGAGTTTTGACCTGTTTCTAGCTGAAACCATCTATTACCAAATAACAGAAAAGAAATCAACCTGAAGGACTCTTCCGTGGCGGCCTCCTCCTCCTCCCTTTCTCCGCCGCGCGGGGATGCCGATGTTGAGGCTCTTCGCCCTCCTACATTGGCTGACCCACCGCAGCAAACACCTCAGTCTGACGTCATGATTTCATCTAGGGACCCAGACGCTCTCGTCAGTGGCGGCGGCATCAGGTTCTCCATTTTCTCTCTTTTTTTTTTTACTAAGTAGTCGTATAACTTTGTCAAACAAGAGTATTGCTAAAAAATAATAGAGTAAACCGTTAGTTTTGATGCGTTTCAGTATCTATATTTTTTATTTTTTTAAAATCCTACCTAAAATTTAATTTTTATTTTATTTTAAGAAAAATTAAAAATTAAAATACTAAAATAGATAAAAACTGATAGTTAAGTACTAAAATGAAAAGTAAGTATAATTTTGAAAAAAATTAAAAATTTAAGTATTAAGACCGATCAAAATTAATAGTTTTGATATTAAATGTATATTTTACCTAAAATAATAATAATAAAATAAAACTTTTTGTTCGGGTGATTACTTTAAAAAGAACATAATAAACATATTTAATTATAACTTGTCTTCACAATTGGTGAAATATTTGTTTTTGTTAATTCCTAGTTATGTAATTTATCATATAATTGTATGACTTGTTCTATTTGAAGAATGACCCTTCATTAATTATCCAATAAAAATGATTTATCTCAATGCAAAATTACATTTCAAGGTCTCAAATTGAGACTTTTTTCTTCTTCATATGGCACTTCCATTGATGCACTTGCTGAATAACAGTCATACTTCTTTATAGATTGATTGGTTTTTGATTTTAATCAACCTACTTTGCTTCATGGTTTTTAAGTAGTGAATTGTGTGGATCATCAGATGTAAAGTTTCGAAAGTTTAGTTTCTATGAAGTTCGGTTAAATTGCGAAACACACTGTGCATTAGAGGCTCTATGGTCCTGCATATAGGATGTTGGATAAAATGTTTGGTTGTTTTGCCAGCTTTCTCACCGGAAGTCGAACTGCTGAATTCAGCTATGGATATTCCAGTTTTAAGGGCAAAAGGCCTTCCATGGAGGATTTTTACGAAACGAGGATATCTGAAGTTGATGGTCGAAAGGTTGCCTTTTTCGGTGTTTTTGATGGTATGCCATTATTGCTAACCCGGGTCGTTGTTATATCCACATTCTTCTTTTACTAGCTATGTTCCGGGAAAAGGATCTCGAGGAAAAATCAGGGAAGGATGTATAAAATGTTTTATGATTAATTTGGTTTGCCCCTTTTTATCTTTGCACTATAGGTCATGGAGGTTCGAGAACTGCAGAGTATCTGAGAAACAACCTTTTTAAGAATCTAAGCACCCACCCTGATTTTATCAAGGACACCAAGACAGCTATAGGTATGAAGTTGGTGAAGTTTTCACTTTACTATATGACGGTGAATATGTTTACGGAAACGTCTATGTATATATTTGTTTACGACAATGTTATCATTACAGTTGAAGCATTTAAACAAACCGATGATGGTTACCTCAACGAAGAGAAAGGCCAGAAAAAAGATGCTGGTTCAACTGCCTCGACTGCTGTATTACTCGGTGACCGGCTGCTCGTTGCAAATGTTGGTGATTCTAGAGTGGTTGCCTCTAGATCTGGATCAGGTTGCTTTCTTTTCTGCTTAGGATCGGACTTGTTCAAATAGTTTAGTCTAAGAATTGGCTTGATTAAGTTAAAAAAGGAATACATTAGAAGAAAGGAGAATAGAAGTCTTCTTACATCTGTGTGTCATACACCATCGAGTAATTGTTTGATGGCTATTATGCATTAGAGATGCTATTCTCGTGTTAGCTGTTGACAGACTTCGAAGGCTTTGGCTTAACTATTTCTCCTCCATTAAAATCACAAATATTTGTGCTTTCTGCAGCTGTCCCTCTGTCAGTTGATCACAAGCCTGATAGATCCGATGAACGCCAAAGGATTGAAGATGCTGGAGGTTTCATCATTTGGGCAGGTAATATGCGTTTTGCAGTCTTTCATCCCCACGCGTTTTCTATAGATTTCATTCTCCTTATGCTTGTATCTTTGGCTAATGATTGCACTAAACTAATGTAGATTTAGTGAACTGTTTCTATTTGTTGCAGAATTCAACTAAAATTCGAGTTGTGTTTTTTTTCTGATGACAGGGACGTGGCGAGTTGGCGGTGTTCTTGCTGTTTCTCGTGCATTCGGTGATAAACTACTTAAACCCTATGTAGTTGCTGAGCCTGAAATTCAGGTTGGTATATCGGGGTTCATACTCTGAAAATTTGTACTTTCTCATTTACTTTTTTAGCGGAATTACTCGATGCGTTAACCCCGGGTTTTTCAACTGCTAAAGTTTCCTTTCTATTGCTTAGGAAGAAGAAATCGTCGGTGTCGATTTCATAATCATTGCAAGTGACGGGCTTTGGAATGTTGTATCGAATCAGGTGAGAACTTTTATGAAGATCATTTCTCATGTAGAACAAAAAGAAACACAGATAAAATTTGATGTTGATATTTATCGTCTTTCTGCGGTAATCGTAATCGATGTCCGTGGAAGCTAAGCACTTGGACTTGTTGTTTCACTTGCAGGATGCCGTGGCCTCAGTGCAGGATGTAACCGATGCCGAGGCTGCAGCAAGGAAACTTATAAAAGAGGCGTATGCACGAGGGAGCTCGGACAACATTACTTGCATCGTTGTCCGGTTTGACAGCCCGTGAAACCGGTTACAAGTTTGTAACGAATCCCCAAATGATCATGTTCTTCTATCTTGTTCATCGGTTCATCCGGCGAAGCACTTTCGTAACCGGTTAATTTGTCCTTTGGCCGGGAAATAGGACTCTTTTATGGATGCAAATTTTAAAAGCTCAGTTTGGGCATTGTTCTGATTGATTACTGCAAAAAAAAAAGTATTCATTTCATCTGGTTACAAGTGATGATGATGTATGTGTTCTAACTTCTAAGGTTTAGTTGTTTGTCATTTGAACTGGTTTTTTAATTGAGGTATTGGGATATAATTAAAGAGTTTATTTCTTTCATTGAAAACATAAAATATAATATTTCATTAAATTTTCAAAAATAATTTCTTGTAAATATTATCATTTTTAAAGCATTACAATAATTTAAATAATTTGATTAGTATTATTTATGATGAAATATTATTAATTTACTTATAAGATAAACTACATAAATGGTAATTAATGTTTAAGTTTTTGTTTTTTCCACCGAAGTTTTAAAAGTAATAAATTCATCACTAATACTATCGACTTATAACAAATCAACCGTTCACCGTTAAAAATACAGAATATTGATGTGATACCTAACATTGTTTGATTATGCGAGAAACCTTTTGACCGACGTTTGACTCTCATTTCTTCTTGATCTTTTGTTTTAGTATCACCTTTTATTTTGATAAGAAGAATATTCAGGCATGAAGAAACCAACGCCTTCCTTCCACTATTCAGATTTTGGTGTGAGCTTTATATTTATTTTTAATTTTCTGATTGCTGGAGGTCTTCCACGGAAGCTGCTCTCAATCTTGGCGTTTGGGGCAGCCTACTACCATACCTCCCCCTTACCCCCATTGCATATGGGAATAGAGTTTTGTTGTTGTTGTTGTGGTAATAGCAAAATAAAGGACGACGAAGGAAGTAAAAAAAGAGAGGAGGGTCAAACGACTAGTCAAAGAGGGTCTCATATGGTCAAACAGTGTTAAGTCACTTGATTTAACGTGTCATATTATCATTCTATTATTCTAGTAACGAATGTTAACAGGGAGTGACCAATTTGTTATAAACTTGTAATGTTAGTGATTAATCTGTTATTTTTTAAACTTCAATAGGTAAAACGAAAACTTACATAAATATTAATGATTAGTATATGTTAATTTTTTTTCTATGATTGACGCTTTGATGAGTCAGGTATTAAAAACAATATTATTAACACTTAGAGATTACAATTTAACTTGAAATCAATGAATTTCGATCATATTTAATTTGATAGGGCTGATTTTTTTTTTATAAAAAAATGAGTTTTGAATCGGGTTCAAGTAAGTCTTTTATAACGTAAAGTCAATTCAGTTTGGGTGGAGAGTGAAAAACCTCTTACTTAGCTTAGGTAGGGCTGTAAATGATTTTCTTGGAAAGTCGTTAGGTAAATCATTTTTATGCCGGCATATAGTTATTAATCAAATAGAATATGTGTAGGAAAAAAAATATTCAACGCTTTGTTTGAATCTCTAACCTTGCTTAAGGGACCTAGTGCCTCATCTCACTATATCAACTGGTTGTTGGTATATTGGTTCTTTCTTATACAAAGGGGGAAAAGAATTTAGTAAGTGTTAATCAATTAAATATTCATTAAATACATGTTATTTTCAAGATATTATAATATTAATTGAAGAGTCTGTTAACATAGACTCCAATGATTCTTCAGCGTGGCGTTAAACGGTATAGATAAATGTTTAATGGTTCAACTCAGCTTTCCGTCAACAAGGTTAATGGCCGTTAACGTCGAGAGACCGTTTTGTTATAAATCGATAATCTTAATGATCAGTTTGTAACTTTTGAAAGTTTAATGGGAAAATAAAAAACCTTTAGTGACCATTCGTATAATTTACCCTTAAAAGAAAACAAAAGGACTGGCCATTTCGAGTCCTTAAACCCCAACCTTGGAGGAATCAAACGGAACAGATACGGAGTCTCAACGCAAGATTATATCACGACAATATTAAAGAGATAACTTGAGAGTGACCAAAAAATTCAATATTTAAAGTTTTGTGAGAAAATTAAAATTTTTAAAGCAAGTGAAATAAGTTGAGTGATGATTTATGTAATTTACCCAAGATTATATGGGATTCGGCCCGATAAAAATGAATAGGGTTTTAGCTTTAGTGTTGATTGTCGCTTTCTTCCCTTCCTCTCTGTTTGTTTCCCTAGAAAACAATTTCCAGGAAAACGATACTGCCTTGCCGCTTTCTTATCTTCCTCTCTGTTTCTTCTCTAAACCTTCCATGGCTCCGGAAAAAGAACTTTTCGTAAGCTCCAAAGCGGAGCTTAAACGAAAGCAGAAGGAAAAAAAGAAAGCAAAATCCGGCGGTTTCGAGTCCTTAAACCTCAGCCCTAATGTCTACAGAGGAATCAAGCGGAAGGGATACGGAGTCCCAACGCCAATTCAGCGCAAGACTATGCCTCTTATTCTTGCCGGAAGCGACGTCGTTGCCATGGCCCGGACCGGTTCGGGAAAAACGGCGGCTTTCTTGGTCCCCATGCTGGAGAAGCTGAAGCAGCATGTGCCTCAGGGCGGTGTCCGGGCTCTCATATTGTCTCCGACTAGGGATTTGGCCTTGCAGACATTGAAGTTTACCAAGGAATTGGGAAAATTTACAGGTTTCTTGTTTGTTATGATCTGGAATTTTAACTTTAATGTTTGGTTTTTATATTTTTGAAAGTTAGAATTTTTATTTTTTTTAATAACAAAATGCATGATTTTAGTTTGCTTTTAATCAAATATGATCACTAACCAATGAGTTTTAGAGACCACTGAGGATTGAAAAAATGTTGGCTTTAATGATTGTTATATCGTGTAATTTATGTTACTTACACCCAAACCAGTTTTGCTTTCTGATTAGCATGCCTCCATTGATGGCAACTTATAAATAATTTGTTGCCTTTATTCTAGATCTTCGAATTAGTTTGCTTGTTGGCGGTGATAGCATGGAAAGCCAGTTTGAGGAGTTAGCACAGAACCCCGATATTATTATTGCTACTCCTGGTAGACTGATGCACCACCTAGCTGAAGTTGATGATATGTCACTCCGAACCGTGGAATATGTGGTATTTGATGAAGTGGATTCCCTCTTTGGCATGGGTTTCGCTGAACAATTGCATAAAATTCTTACCCAGCTTAGCGAAAACCGTCAGACCTTGCTCTTTAGTGCAACTTTACCAAGTGCCCTCGCAGAGTTTGCTAATGCCGGTCTGCGTGACCCTCAACTTGTGCGGCTTGATTTAGAAACCAAGATTAGCCCCGACTTAAAGCTTGTTTTCTTCACCTTACGCCAAGAAGAAAAACATGCTGCACTGTTGTATTTGGCAAGGGACCACATTAGCTCTGATGAGCAAAATTTGATATTCGTTTCCACGAAACATCATGTGGAGTTCCTTAATAGTTTGTTTCGAAAGGAGGGTATCGAGCCTTCTGTCTGTTATGGTGATATGGATCAAGATGCTCGGAAAATTAATATTTCAAAATTCAGATCAAGGAGAACTATGCTACTTATTGTGACAGATGTTGCTGCTAGGGGTATTGACATTCCTTTACTAGATAATGTTATCAACTGGGACTTCCCTCCAAAGCCCAAAATTTTTGTTCATCGTGTTGGACGAGCAGCAAGGGCCGGTAGGACTGGTACTGCATTTTCCTTTTTGACATCTGAGGATATGCCGTACCTTCTAGATCTTCATCTATTTCTGTCAAGACCAATCAGGGCTGCACCTACTGAAGAGGAGGTTTTGCAAGATATGGATGGGGTGATGAATAAAATTGATCAAGCAATTGCAAATGGAGAATCTGTTTATGGTCGTTTCCCCCAAAATATTATTGATCTTATTTCGGATAGGGTCAGGGACATGATTGATTCATCTGAAGAACTAAATAATTTGCAAAGAACATGTACAAATGCTTTTCGCTTGTATTCCAAGACTAAACCCTTGCCTGCGAGGGAGTCTATTAAAAGGGCAAAGGATTTGCCCCGTGAAGGGTTGCATCCTATCTTCAAAAATGTGTTGGAAGGTGGTGAATTGGCAGCACTTGCATTTTCTGAACGCTTGAAAGCTTTCAGGTAATTTCTAAATCATTTCATCTGCAATTTAGTCTGCTTCTTGGTTAAGTGCTTCTGTCTTCTTTGTCTTCCATGTTAAGCTGCCACATTTTAACATAATTAATGATTTACACTAGACCCAAGCAAACCATTCTGGAAGCTGAAGGTGAAGCCGCTAAATCAAAGCATTTGCAGGTAACTCTGCAATATTTATATTATGGCATTTTCTTTCCATTATTGTTGATGATTTTTCCTTGAATTGCTATACTTTTTTGCTTTCAGCCCTTCTTTAAAAAAGTTTTTTTTCAATATCTTGCTTTCTTGCCCTTTACAAGCTGGTTTGGGATTATGATGCATTCCTTTGGTCATACAGTGGGTCGATGTGATGAAAAAGAAGAGAGATATACATGAGAAGATCATTAATTTGGTTCATAAGCAGTGGTCTAGCAAACATGTGGAAAAGGTAACTTTGCTATTTGGAAATGATTTACATAACAATAAACCCATCAAATATTCACCTCCTCCCACCATGCGTCAGCACACAATCTGAAATTCTGAAATTATTAGTTTCCATACATTTTAGTCATTTTGTGGAACTAGATAAGTAGTTTGTATTATTTTCTTCTGGTCAATTTTAAAATTTTGTGGTTGTTTTGAGAGGTTTCAAAAACTATGGTTTTGATAGAAGATGATTTAGACCTATTCCATTCACAAATATGATTTATTAGTAATTTTTACACTTCGTTTTCAAGTTTTTGGCCACTGATTTTATTCTGTGGTCTCATTTCATCTGCTCCTTTCTAGTTAAGATCATCTTTGATGCATGCAGGAAATTCAATCTGATGATGTTTCTCCAAGGATTAATGAGATAAAAGGTTTTTTCCTTACCTCTTTTTAATTTCTTCTTATTGGAGCTGTCTACCTTCCTGACTAAAGACCTTAATGCTGAAGGAGCCTTTTTTTTATTTATCAACTATTTTATTGGGAGTGGAAAAGCGAATAGGGTAACAGTACCTATATTTTTTGGTTTGAATGGTTGTGGTTATCAAAGCTCACAAGAAATATTCTAGGTCTTTTCTGCCACATTTGTTGGCCACTGACAAGTTGCCTTAAAGAGGGATAAAACCAACGAGTAAAAGCCAATAAAACTTGTTAATCAAAAATAAATGTATATACCTGTGTTTGTCCAAAAAATTACGTGTGTGTGTGTGTGTATATATATAAATTTATCTTCTTGGAGCATTAGTTTTGGTTTTTTTCACTAATTATATATTTCCCTTTTCTATATTAGAAGTGTGTGGTTCTAAAAGAAAGGCAAGAAATTTCAAGGATGAGGAGTATTACATAAGTTCTATACCTACAAATCTTGTATGCTCTTATCTTCCAACATTCTTTTCTATTGTGGTCTCAATGTGTCTATAATATTTAATTTGTATTTGATTGTATTGTCTAATTTATATCTTACAATTTGTGAAACTTGCTAATGCCTAACAAGCTTTTGTGCATGTTGCTATCATTTTCAGCATTCAGAGGCTGGTCTCTCAGTAAGAAGTAACGAAGGGTTTGGATCAAATAGGTAAATTTAAGATCCTAACGATACCTTTTTGGCTCATTTTGCTGTTTGGTTCTTTCCCCTACCTAGTGAGGAGTTGGGGATGTAGAAATTTAAATTTGTGGAATACTTTGGAACATAACTTAGCCTTTTTATGCCAGAGAATGCTTCATGATAAGTCATTAACTTATTATGTATCTAAAATCCTTGTTTATGTGGCCCATTTCTGTCTCTGGCTTGTGTTATATCTTGGCATAACAGCTTCATTTGCATACATTGCTGTGGAACAAGATTCTGCTTTCATTAAGATGTGCATCTATGCTATCTAACTGCGGGAAATGAGATTAGAAGATGATCTTTAATTTTGCGATATATACATTTAATTTGGAATTTATTCCCTTATCCCGGAGTGATTGTACTCATGCTGTTACTTTTTTGTATTCGCAGGTTAGAATCTGCTGTACTGGATCTTGTTGCTGACGATAGTGGAGGCATGCAGAAACAAAAATCAAGATATCATTGGGATAAGGTTCATAGGACTGTTTGAGTACTGATCTTTTATTGTTATCATAAATTAACTTTGGTTTTTAAACTCAACTCATCTGAACCTTTTATATGCAGAGGGGTAAAAAGTATGTCAAATTGAATAACGGTGAACGTGTTACAGCCAGCGGAAAGGTACTTTTTGCTGCTATTTCTATTCTTGCTAATCTTTATGGATGTTCACTTCCCTTTAGTTTCATCTTTCAAGATGATTGATTTAAGTTAAATTGGATGCTAACACTGTATCCTAACCATAGCCATTGAGCTGTTCTGGTACTACATTGAGCTAGATGGTCATGCTCATTCTTTCATTCATGTCCCTGGTGTTCTGTACATCTCACTTTAGTACTTTTCTTTTCTGCTGTTTCCAGGTTAAGACAGAGTGGTGCCAGAGTAAAAACTGAGAAAACAGGAATCTACAAGAAGTGGAAAGAACGATTTCACAAAAAAGTTTCTCTCAAGGGAACCGTTAATGGAGAGGATGCCGAGGCAACAACAAGTTCATCAGGTTGGGTTATGAACCTCCCCCGGCTGATCTGTACTGCTGTTAGTATTCTGATGATAGAAAGAATACATTATTTAATCCGGATAAATATCTCATGCAGGAGACTATCGGTCACATGGTAATGGTAGGAAGTTCAGAGGAAACAAGAAACCACAACACACTGTGCCTAATGCTCATGTGCGTTCAGAGATCAAAGATTTGGAACAAGTGCGAAAGGAAAGGCAGAAAAAGGCAAATAAAATGTCATATATGAAGGGCAAAGCCAACAAGAAAAAGGGTAAAAATTTCGGTCAAGGTGGTAAAAGAGGAAAGTCCAAGTAGTCTGATTCAACTGATGCAGCGTCTTCTTGAGAGAAAATACATATAGGTCAGTATATGCTAAACCAGAATGGGTTCTAAAAGTTTTTGACCTTCCAAAACTTGTTTTAATGACATTATGTCACACATAATGCTTTACCGTTTTATGAAGTCATTGGGCACTGGAAAGAATTGGAGCTGGCAATTATTTTGTTTGGTTGAGGCCTGGAGGGGCAAAAGAATTGGGTTTATATAGGCTTTTTTAAGAACCTTCGTTGTCATCTCAATTTTGTTACTTTTTTTTGAAATTATTGTTGATGGATTAAAACTTTCACAAATTCTTAATTTTACAATATAATTTTTATTGTTTTTATGTTTCTGACTATCCATATATCCGATACAGTGGTAATTTACAATGATAATGATTATTACCATGAACTCAAAAGTCTCCGCATTCATACATACACATACATATATAAATATATAGAAATGATGTAGAAATGAACATTCTACGTCCCTGTCATTGTGTCAATGAGCAGTATGGGAAATACTGTTGAACGGACGATGAGCTTGAACCACACAAGCACAATGAACGGACGTTAAGTTCAGGCAGCCACTCATAACAAGGGAATGCCTTCCGGAGCAGGTATGAAGTGCAGGAAATGCATCGCATAACGCCTGGACGGCTGAAGGAGTCAGGGCCGTACACTGGCTTATATTCAGACTTTTCAGGCCATTGTCATCATATCTACCTTTCATCGACTCCCACATTGAACCCTTGTTCTTCATTCTGCTTTGAGCCAGCGAGTACATAGCCTTGTCTGTGATGTTACGACAATAGTACAGTCCGAGCGACCTCAAATGGACACATTCGTTTGCTAAAGCAATCACGCTATCATCTGCAGTAATAAGTTTTGTCAATCTTGATCTGCCATGGTTACCTCTTACATGGCGAAATAAGCACTGAATGCAAGAAATATACCTGTTATGCGAACACAACCGCACAAGTCCAGGCACCGAAGATCAGGGCATCCATATGCTAAACTCATGACTCCGATATCACCGAAGTTGTCACACCATCCCAGATTTAAAGACTGCAACATATTGCAGTTTCGTCCAACAGCCTGTGCATATGATCGACTCAAGCAGTTCGTTATCTTTTTAATCAGCAAGTAAACAAAAACCCCATCATAATACCGTTACCTGCAATGCATGATCAGTTGCAGCTTTAACACATCCACAGAGGTTTAATATTTTTAATTTCAGACAAAAGTTAGTCAAATACGCTAGAGCTTCGCCGCTAAACGATGTGCAGCCACTGATGTTAAGCCTTTTAAGGTTAGGACAACCGTGAGCCAACGCATACAACGAGCGATCACTAAGCTTGAAACTCTTGCTGAGGTCCAGATCCTGCAGATCTTGACAGTACTTCGAAATAGTCTCGACGGCATCATCCTCGAGCTGTGGATACTCTTGGCGCAATATCAGGGTTTGCAACTTGGTGAATTTCGGCGCAAGAGACAGAACCAAGTTGTTCATGTTCTTTCTGCACCTAAAGTAAGATTTAGACATCACAGTTATCAGCAAGTGGGATATAGAGGAAACAAAGATACAAAAGGGTAGGTCCTACGTCCATCTTTACCAAAGACAAGGCCAAGAAATGACATCAAAGATTGAAAAAGAAGTCCAAAAAACTATCAAGCTCCATAAAACACAGACAAATCCAAATGTAGCTAAGCAACATACTGCAACCAGAGCTTCATCGAGTTCGGATTATCGTACATGAACTGTATGCAGAATCGGTATTACGCACATAGAGCAACGATGCATTCGTCGAGGATATAGCACCGAGAAGAAGGTGGTGCAGACGGCCTCATATTAGTCCTAATCTTATAACTACTATGACAGATGATACAAATAGCTAAAGCAAAACATAGCAGCAAAACATAAAACATCAAACAATTGTTGGCAAGGAAAGCTATACCATGAGAGACAGAGTCGAGTAAGGCCGAAGCAAATGGCATCCCTCCACCCGCTACAAACACCGGAAGCGACGATAGCCGTCCGATCATCGACGAGCATAACGATTCTCAACAGAAGCTCCAATGGGATGTCTTTCCACTCGGCGATCCCTACACCGTTCATCTTAACTCCCTTAACACCATCATGTCCAGCTGCAACCATCATCAGCTTCTCAAAGCATAAGTTCAAGTCTTCATTTCCCACTTCGGCAATCATCTTTCAATCCCTCTTTTTATTTTCCCTTAATCCTTTAGCCATGAAAAGAATTGCAGAAACTGATCAGTTAAAAAAGGAAAGCTAAAGCAATCCAATCTATTTGATTGTATCATTGTAAACTAAACATTTCCAGCAAAACAAGAAATCACAGCTTCATGGCATAAAGCAGATTGGAATTTGAAAGGCAGCTTCAGAATCAGCAGCTCGATTTCATAACAAAAAACATGGAGCAAAATTAAAAGAAAAAAGAAAAGAGATTGTGGGTATGATGGAATACCTTATTTTTCTGGGTTTTCTTTGTTTTCCTCGTATTGTTTACTAATTTATTTGGCCTTTTGCTTCTGTTTCCTGAAAAAGAGGCATAGGGAAAAGAGCTTATAAAAAGAGCATAAGAGAGAATGAAGAAAGGAAATGCGAGGGAGAAAAGTACGAAGAGAGAGTTTGCGACGTTAAATATGCCACGTGTCGAATATCAAACGGTTAAATTCAACTGGGTCCTACTTTATGAACCCCAAATAGATATTTAACAGTAACGAAAGGAACCGAGTCATAGCAGTAAATCGCCCATTTAATCCAACATATTTATTTTTAATAATTTTAAATTTATATTTATGTTATGTTATTTAAAATAAATTTAGGGTAAACTATAAATGTAGTACCTAAACTATCAATTTTGGTCTATTTTAATATGTAAACTTTCAATTTTTTCAAAATCATACCTAAAGATTAGTTTTTTATTTCATTTTAGTACCCTGTTATTAAAAACACGTTTAGTACCTAAACTATCTTTTTTGGTCATTTTTAGTACCTAAATTTTTAATTTTTTTTTCAAAATTTAACGTTAAAATTTAAACATGGATAGTAAAATGAAACAAAAACTAAATTTTAGGTATAATTTTGAAAATGTTAAAATTTTAAGTACTAAAACGAATTAAAACTGATAGTTTATGTACTAAACGTATTTTTTACCCTTAAATTTATTGAGTTTCCAATTATAAAAGAAATATTTCTATGCACAAAAAAAGAATATTATCTTCCTTACATAATCTGGATTGGAACAACTATCTCTATAAACTATGCGTTGTCAATAACTGAAAAAGTTTTCAATGTATATTATCTTGTAATCACATAAATTAATTAAAAAATTTACATATATTCGTGTTTGTTTGTTTAATATATATATATAAATAATATTGAAAAACAAGACAAATGAACGTATCTACAAATATAAATTAATATGCTTATTAATATTAAATAAATAAAAAATATAAATAAATATATTCAATTATTATGGATATTAAGGGTATGAACGTTCAATATCAAATGATAGAGAATTACCTTTAAAAAGATGTTATCTTGTACTTATCATAAATCAATCGAAAAATGAATATATTCATAAATATTTGAAAGTATGCTTATAAATAATAAATAAATCATAAATGAATATATTTTAAAAAAATTAACTATAAAAATAATCAAACATAAATACATATATTATAATTAAATAAATACAATAAATAATTTTTGGTATTTTATATGAAATATATCAAATTTAGATAAATAATATAATAAATTAGATTTTTCATGAACACAAACAAATCCAAAGTACTCTTCTTCAAACACACTCGTTTAATAAATAACTATAAAATGTTATTCATTCTTATTTAATTAACTTAATAATAAGTATATTCAGATAATTCACAATTAATTTTTAAAATATTTTATTTACATATATTATAATTGAAATAATTGTTGTTTTTCAATTTTTTTAAATTAGAGAATTTTGAAGCAATAATTTTACGTGACTTATTTTAATAACAAAACATGTCACACATTTATTCACTGAACCTTGCTCTTTCCCCTATTTTACTCACGATACTCTCTCTTATTAATTTTCGGAAATAGTTGTATTTTAATTGTACATGCTTTAAAGAATACGATAATAGAATTAATCATTGCTGCTGTTTCAATTTTATATAAACAATAACGACACTAATGCTTGGATTTAAAAAAATAAATAAATTAAATGTATCTTTTTAATTTACTAATCAATTTTTTTATTAAGCTAAAAAAATACAAAAATCACGTATATCGCTTTGGTTATTAGTTATTTAAATTAGGGTAAATTACATGCTTACTCACTGAACTTTGCCTTCTTTCATATTTCACTTACCGTACTTTCAATTTTTTCAATTTGCTTACTGAACTTTAGACATTGAACTTTTTTTCTCACTCGACCGTTAAATTTCTTTAAAATTGAAAAAATTAAAAGCACAGTGAGTGAAATAAGAGAGATGGAAAAGTTCAGTGAGTAAACGTGTGACATGTTTGATTATTAAAATAAGCCACGTAAGCACCCTGTTACTGAGTAAACAACCGAGTGACAAAAAAAGTTCAATGTCTAAGGTTCAGTGAGCAAATTGAAAAAAATTAAAAGTACGCTTAGTAGAATAGGAGAGAGAGTAAAGTTCAATGGGTAAACGTGCAATTTAACCTTTAAATTATTCAACAAAAATCAATCTGCACTCAAATTAAGGTATGGGTGAAATCCCAAAAAATAACATTACAATATCAATTATTTTTAAAAATAGTATTAATATTTTATAAAAGATATTAGTTTTATTTTAAATATTAAACTTTATAAAGGTTTTTTTTTTTAATTTAAAGGTCAATTCACATCCCAATCTACCATGGGACTCCGCCAATAACTAAGGAAAGCCACAACTAATACAGCTAAAAGATGGGGTAAATTACACCGAAGTTACGTAGTTATGGGTTTCTATAATAAATTTATCATTTTTTCTAAATGTTATGAACATGCCATCTAACTAATATTATTGCACAAACCCATTATTATTATTCCGAGTCGGAATATTCATCGTTGTTTTGTATAATGAGGCACAACTTATCCTTCAAGCGGTGGAAATGATCGGTTTCTCCTTCAAGAAGGCGCAATGCTTGTGGGACAACCCATCGATTCAATATTATATTCAAATGGAGAATTTGCATGAATAGGATGGATGAATATGAAGATGTTTCAAGTTAGAGAACACCCATGAGATCCGCTAATGCAGATGTTTTCTGTTTTTCTATCTGTTCATCATTATATGATGTTTCGGGCAAAACTTTCGAGATAATGTTCTCGAATAAATTAATTCACGAGATAATGCACTCCCCAGATTAATTGCTCAAATATGGTGAAATCTACAGTGTTGGTCGTAGGTCGACATGCCATCAGGGCGACCTACTAGGTCGTCATGTCTTCCCGGCGAGCTATGAGAGAGATTGCATGTGCCATGCATGTTCCAACACGCTGGCCATCCGAGCGAACTATGCGAGAGCATCCGATCGAGGGCATCTGACCGAGGCCATCCGAGCGAGCTATGCGAGGGCAAGAGGAATCACGCAAGGAGCAGGAGGGAGTGCATGGCGACCTACAAGGTCGCCCGGAGTGCATGGCAACCTACAAGGTCGCCCGGAGTGCATGGCAACCTACAAGGTCGTCTGGAGGGCATGGCGACCTATGCTTGGGACGGTGCATGGCTGGCCATGTAGTAGGTCGCCCGGAAGGCATGGCGACCTACGGCCAACACTGTGGATTTCACCCTATTTGAGCAATTAATCTTGGGAGAGCATTATCTCGTGAAATAATTTGTTCGAAAACATTATCTCGAGAGTTTAGCCGATGCTTCGTAGTTTCATATAATCCATCATTTTCCGAAGAAAAGTCCTTTTAAAAGGATGAGATGACTCAAAATCTCCTCCACTAATCGCAAACTTGCACTAATAGTATCTTCTCTCTCAACAAACTCAGGATCAAACATGACGTTATTCCTTCTATTCCATATCATCCAACAGATTACCGGGAAGAGGGTAGACCAAGAGCTATGCTTGTCAAAACGACTAGAATGGATAATGTTCAGCCGAATCTAATCCTCTATAGGCAGAGAAATAAATGAATGAATCTGGACTGATGAACCAAGATCCTCCAACTTTCTCGAGCTCTAGAACAGTCACGTTAAACATGAAGAATATCTTCAGGTTCACGTTTACAAATGCTACAATGATTATAAAGAGTCATATGATGGCGAACCCTTTCGACGTTAGTAAGAAGATTAATTCGCAAGTCTAACCACATAAACACTTGGATACGTTGCGGAATGTTAAGGGATCAAATAACTTTCCAAATGCCATCACAAGGTCTCGTCGGCTCACCTGCAGGTGTCGTATAAGCAGATTCGATGAAAAAGTGCACTTCGCCTCCCATTTCCAGCTCGGTCGATTCTTTCCAGGTGATTCATAGTCGGCACAACAACTATGATTCACTGCACACAACCCTCAGAAAGTAAGGATCTCAATAGGATAATATCCCATTATCTAGAAAGCGTGGTCACACTCCAATTTCGGGCCTAATATTTTCAATTAGTTAAATTAAGGGATTACATTGAATTTTTTATTAAATTTGGAGTAACTTCGTGAATCAGTAAAGAATAGAGGACCTATGGTATAATTTTTTCATTTTCCCCAAGTGAGTTATGTTTAAAAGCCTCGTTTGAGGTTTATCATTTTAGAAACCCATAAGCTTTCTCTCTCCACTTTTCCTCTCTCTCTCTCTCTTTTTATCTTTCTTCTTTAAGAAACTTTAAACGGTGTTTCATTGTTGATCATAGCTTCGTTTAGTACACCACTCATACCATTGAATTCCTGGTGTTGTCCCTAGTCGACCGATGGCCTTGGAATTTTTGTAGTCGTCGATGTGTGGGGTGAAGGAAAACGAGTTTTTGAAGTTGCAAAATCGAGCTCTCTGTTGTTCACCGTCATGAAGCGATCTTGGTAAGTGACTCTAAACTTCAAATTATTAATTTTAGAATTTTCCCCAAAATTTTTCGATGCTCCTCGGCGTCGTACGTATCCTCACGCATCGTCCTTTCACGTGAGACTCCTCCACCATCTAGAGGAGAGATTTGGAACTAGGTCAACCTGCTTAACGACATGTACTCGACTCGTTGACTGGTCCAAACCGCTTGGACCAAATCGTCAGGCCTAAATCCCAACCGGATCGAATCAGTCCAGCTAAAACAGACTGAACTGATATAGTCGAACCGATCCAAACAAGCCAAGCCAAGTTGCGTTGAGTCGTTGACCACTGCCGTTGATAGTTGGCCGTCACCTTTGGTCGGCGTTGACTTTTTGAAAACTTTTAGCCTAACATTTTTCGACGTCCTAGACGTAATTTTTCGGTCTATTTCACCAAATTTTGACCCGAAAGCTTAGAAACAAGACCATTAACCCGAAAATGCTTATTATTTTTAATATTTTTACATGATTATTTGGGTTTTGAATATAAAATTGATTTGAGAATATATTTTTATG